AATAGATGTGCAGTATTAGTTTCACATTGATGTGCAGTGTTTTCTTTTTGTGTGTCTGTCATTACTCATTTAATAGTAAAAATTCTTCAATTTTAAAACTTTGAGAATGGTTTCTGGTAGGTACTTACCAAATTTTATCTAGTAAGTTCTTTGAGACAACATTTTAGTTTTCAAAATATTCGGGGAAAAAAGTAAAAATTAGATATGCAATGTAATAATTCATATATGTAGATATAAATAGGTACATTTATATATATACGATATACGATATACGTATACCTACTAGTTTTTGACAAATAGATTTATTTTATTTGATTGCAATTCAAAAATGAATACCTAACCATAATATATAATAGTAGATACATATACAATTTCCAAGCACCTATATTTCCCTATACATTTTTATTTTTTAGAATTGACATAATTTTGAATATATTTTAGAAATAGGTTTATTATGGAAATATACTTATATATATACCGGTTTTCCGTTATTGTACTATTGTACTACCTATACCTACCTAGTTTGGCTTGAGGCGCTTGAGCCACACTTATTTTTGGGTTGAGTGGCGTTGTAAATACTGATCAGTTGGTTTAGTATATGTATATAAGTAATTAAAATGTCCAAAAATAATATGATACACCATACACCTATATACCTAGTTAAACTGTATAATAATCGTAATCGGGGTATCTGGTATCTGCGTTCGATAGTTTAATGGCAGTACCTACTACCTACTACCTAGTACATTATTATAATTTGTACAAATTTACAACGAATACTATGTTTTGACAGTATAGACATAGGCCAGCAGCTATACCTACTATTACATATATAGGTACCTATATTATATGTAATATAAAGGTCATAGATAATGCATTGAGAGGAAGTAGGTACTTAAAAGTTATTGATAATAATACTAAAGATTATTATTATAAATTATGATAAACATATTTAAATAACTATATTTTAACGGATTATTATAATTACTAAACAAAACTATGATTGTTATTTTTCTAAAAATGAAAATACCTAGGTACGTGTGAGGTATTGAAATTAAGTATTTAATGCTTATAAGTAATAATAGTAATAACTAATAATGATTGACGTCGAGGAATTGAGCACTTAACAGTTGCACGTATAGAGGAGTAAACAATATTATTTTTATTTTTGAAAATCTGTTTGTTGGAACGTTAGTCGTCAGTTTCATACATTGTTGATAACTTTTTTTATCAAAAAATAATGACGCGGGGTCATCTCTCATCATGATTTAATACCTACCTACTTGATTATATATACGGCTATCGGGCTGTACTAATATAGGTAACTAATAAGGTATTATACCGGTACCTATGTGAAACTATAAGTTATAAATACTATTAGTTTTTATACATTTTATATCCTTAGGTACATAAATATTTGATATGTGTATTTAATAGGTAGGTGTATACAATATACTTTTGTTTTTTAGACTTTATACTCTCAATACTACCTATTACAAACGCACACACCACGGTATATAAGAAGTAATATAGTACCTATAGATATCTACCTATATTATAGGTACCTACGTAAGTACGTTAGTCGAGATTTAACGGTGTTTGTAAAACGTTTAAAGGTAATAAAGGTCTATAGCTTATAGGCTTACAATATTGAATATACTCATCACACAACTAAATAGCTGAAACCTAATCTGAATAATATACATATAAAATAATAATGATATACTAATAAAATAATAACATTAACAACATTAATTAATCTCATAAATATTTTATTATTTTATTTAAAATACTTTGGGTGGGGCCAAAAGTAGGTATTATATTATAAAGGGTAGGTATGATGTCTGTAGACTTTTTCATGGAATTATATTATATCAGTAACAACCCTTGAAACAAACGGGTAATAAAAAAAACTGTTTGTAGGTACGTACGTTGTTATGGCTATATTGCCTATATTACTTATTAGCTACACTGTATAACATATAAGTATACGACATACGTATATTATATTGCTACCTACATATAATTATGTCGACAATCGACTATAAAGAAACCCCATTTTGGCGTTATATTTACGTAGAACTCGGGAGCAATTTCACCCTAAAATAAAATATTGAATAACTGCCATGATAGATATATTGAAATTTGATTCCTTGTACAACTGCTACATATAGGTACTACTATATCGGTTTTAGTAAAAAAAAATGTAGTGTTTAATTGGCCTTGTTTTGTAATAGGCAATTTATAAACAAAATAGGTAGGTACCTGTAACAGGCAAGTTTAAATTAATATTATAAAGAAAAATATCTGTATGTTGTATCGTATTAATTATTGCGTTTACTCAGATACAATAAAAAAATTTTAATTTATTTTATATAATAATTATATTGTAAGCTATAGCCAATAGGTATTATATATCATATATTATATATTATAGTGCACATATTAACATAATATTATTATAGCTATATAAACATAATACTGTCCAGTTCATTCATAAAATGTTAAGATGAAATATAATACTGACAACTGACAAGGTGAATAAGAATAAAAATTATAATAAATCATGAATAAGAATTTGACCTTGAAGTATTTGTATAGAAATAACCGACATAAGACCTAGTTGTGTCAAAATTAAGTTTTTATAAAATATATCGTAGGTAGGTATGGGATTATATATTCATGTTTATGGAATATAGATAAAAACAACACGACTATTTGATAGGTATATACTATATAGTCTACAGAGCCGTGTATAGGTACTTAGATATTTATAAATGTAATGTAAACGTTCAAGAGAAAGTCAATCGGTAAAAAAAATTTGGAGCCCCAATATGGACACAGAAAAATAGTTAATGAAATAATTATGTTTAGGTATTGTGTGCAATTTATATGCAACTTCTTATAAGGATCTTACAAATATAAAAAATTTAGAACGTAATTTGAATAATAAACTATTTTTTAGGTTAATTAAGTAGGTACCTACCTAATAAGTAATAATTTAGGTATAGACGTAATTTTTTTGTTAATTGGTTTTTATTTTTTTCACAATGGTTATCATCTGTAGATTAAAGTGGTGATTATCTTTTTTGTTGTAAACTCGGCCCGGAAATTTCGGTTAGTAAAATGGTAAGGTGTAAACTCTGCCTGATAATAATTTTTACCAATAAAATATAATAAAGACGACACAACTTAATCTGAAAATAATAAATAAATAAAAAATGAATTTTAATTCAAGTATTAACTAGATTAATTCAACTTACCCAAATAGGTATATATTCAGTCATAACCAAATTAATAGAAATACCTAAAAACTGAAACTTATATTAAACCTAACCTAACCATTTAAATTTCAAAATTCCTTTAACTAAAAAAAATAATTGTAAGAAGAATAAAATTATAGAAGCATAAAAATAGAGAAATATCAGACAGAAGTACAGAACTTATGTCAAATGCATACATTGTTGTCTATAGATAAAACTTACTTAAAACCTACTTAAAACAATTTTAAACGTTTAAATTTATATGGATAATTGCATGCTTTTAAAACGAATTTTAATAATTTTTAATAATATGAAAATGAAAATAAAATAATTCTTGGAGACTAATGGGAATTGTGTCATTGTAAGTCGTAGTGTCCTCTGGATAATGCTTAATTGTTCTAAAAAATATTATAACATAAATACTAATTACATACGAGAAAACAGGGTTTTTTTTTTTTATTCGAGCTGAGTTTACATATCAGTTATTTTTACATGAAAAATATCGAAGCCAAGTTTACAATATACCTTTATACACACATTTATTTTTCTCGGGCCGAGTTTCAATCACCCGATAATTAATGTGGTATAGTCGTATAGGTAGGTCGTATATAGGTGAAACTGATTCTTATAGTTCCAAGGGTATAGAAGCACCTACTGAACAATAATTATTGTTAAATATTAATTTATTAATATTATCATTATAAATTTAAAAGGTTATTAATCTGTCCAACTGTCCAAGAGAATATTGCAGTGTGCCCACACGGCCTAAGATAGTAATATCTAAGTCTGTTAGTACCCGTAATAGCCATACTTACTTAATACCAGGGGGTATTAAATCATTTTGTAATTGTTATCAGTTTCCTGTTTCAACCCAAGTACTAAATATATTTACGAATTAATTAAGGAGGTTTGTTGTAGGTACTATAGGTATTGAAAACCGTTAAATTCTGTTTGTTTACTTGTAAGTTGTAACAATGAGCCATGAGCGTACATATATGTATGCAATGTAGACTGTAATCATATAGTTAAGATACTTAATCATAACAATAATAATATCAGGTAATCGTAACTGATATATACAGTCGTCAAGTTAAATTCCAAAATAATGCAGTGTTAGAATAATATTTTTCTTCGAAAAATTCAGAAGACTAGAGAGTTGTGTGCGGTGCGAGAGGTATAGTGATAGAGAGAGAGAGAGTGAGTGAGAGAGCAGTTTTGTTAGCATTTTTAACGATCGAATACGTTTTTTCTATATTATTTCCGTTAAAGGATAGAGCGTTGCGTAGAGCGTAGGGGGAAGCAGACGGCGGCAGACATCGTCATAAACAATCGTTTTGAATGCGGTCTGCGCGGCGGCGGCGGTGCGTTGGCCGACGCCCAAAACGGCAAGCGGCACGCGATTAACGATTGGGTTATTCAAATTCAAAAACTACGTTGCACCGTGCGGAAGGTAGATGAAAAAAAAACCAAAGGAAATAACGAGAAAAATCGTTATTTCGGCGTGTTTACGTTGGCACCACTGTGGCAATCAGCCAATCGGAACGCTACAAGGGCGTCGGCTGGAGCGGGGTTGCTGGTGCGTCGCCAACGCCACAAAACCGACAAAACCCGTGCCGTAGCCATTTTATTTCTCTGTAGCGTTCGAGACGGTCGCCTAACTGTATCTCAACTGTCTCAAGCTTCTCGATCAAGCACTTTTAATTTTATAATTTTAAATTTTCACTTTATACTTTAAACATGAGGGAGATCGTACACATCCAAGCCGGTCAATGCGGAAACCAGATCGGAGCCAAGGTAAATATTATAAAAATTTAAAAAAACGACGGCGTTCGGCCTGATCGTTTGCTCAAACATGGCGTCGGGTCAAGATAGTATCGTGGTATCTTCAACCGGTGTTTTTTTCAACACATATACTCGGGTTTCAGTATCTTCGATTATCGTCCAGATGACTGATTTAGTTTCATTTTTCGTACTTTGCGTTTCTCCTTATTACGTTCGTGAACATATTATAAACATATTATCTTATTCTAACCGGTTTTCAAACTATAGCGTGGGCAAGTTTGGAATCCAAAATGGTGTTGGTGTAAACAAAGGATGCGAACTAGAGAGTCATCCTACTTGTGAGAAAATCGTTATCGTGTGAATCACCTACTTTTTCTTGATTATTTTCACTGATCTCTAGGTGTTTGTTGATTGTTCCCCTAAAAAACAATTATTGTATCTTGTGGTTTTTCGTTTTGATTAAAAGTTTGGTTCTTAAAAAAACAAGTTATTTGAAAATTAACTTCACTTCATGCTGAAACGTTAAGTGTGTAATGCATTTTTCGATAGTTATACCTATGTTAGTTTTATATCGATTTGTACATTATTACTATTCCTCTGTCAATTTATGACAATTTTATAGTTTTATTTAATAGGTACTTATTAACTAGATAGAGCTAATGTATTCCACTCTAGGTTATAATTTTTATGGCCCACTGCATAAATAAGATATTTAAATTGCTGTTCAAGGCAGTTAATTTCATAGGCACTAATGTGTAATTTTTGACATTTTTCCTTGTAAAGGTTGAATATGATTTAACTTATTACAACTAGTTTTGTATTTTTTATGCATCATAAGTCAACCGTAACATAATAATTACTAGGTACACAATTTTATTCTACTTGCTTTTATTAAAGGAATATTCTTAACCTAATTAATAAAAGTAGGAATGAGAAAAAAATTTAATTATTTCAAACAAGTTATAATTTAAAGTTGGTTCTATAATTGCCTGATTTAATTTTTTGATGATAATAATCTTGACTGTTTTTTTGATATTACCTAATATAAATACAAAACCTTAATATATTTCTCTTCAAAATTTAATTTATATTTAGTAAATTTTTTATTTATTTTTTTTTAGTTCTGGGAAATTATTTCTGATGAACATGGCATTGACCCAACTGGAGCCTACCACGGAGACTCTGATCTCCAGCTGGAACGTATCAATGTATACTACAATGAAGCATCAGGTAATGTTTTCTTTCGATTTGTTTAGTACACTTTTTAAATTAAAATAATTAATTATCTAATATATAAAAAAAATTAAAGGTGGAAAGTATGTACCTCGTGCCATTTTGGTTGATTTGGAACCTGGTACCATGGACTCCGTCAGATCTGGACCATTCGGTCAAATTTTCAGACCAGACAACTTTGTCTTTGGACAATCAGGTGCTGGAAACAATTGGGCTAAAGGTCATTACACGGAGGGTGCTGAGCTTGTAGATTCAGTATTAGATGTTGTGAGGTAAGTTTTCAATTATTACTGGCCGGGTATTGAAATAGCTAATTAGTTTTACACTTAACTTATATTTGAAATTATAATGGTTTGCTGAACCCATTTTCTTTTTTGAAATGATGATAATTTAAAATTTAAAAATGTTTATAAATTTATGTAGACTTAATTTCATAACCATCATGCATTTTAACATTATATTATGAATTGATTGTCTTATTCACATCATTTATTTTTCATTTTTAATGCTCCCAGTGTTGCATACAATCATAATATGATAATACCTTATGAAAAATGATTTCATATTATGATGAAATTTGTATTTTTGTTTTTACTTAAATTAATAAATTAAAATAATGATATTGTAACCATTCTCTTTTTATAGTTTTTAATTGCTTTTTTTTCTTTTAGGAAAGAAGCTGAGAGCTGTGATTGCCTTCAAGGTTTCCAATTGACACATTCCTTAGGTGGTGGTACCGGTTCTGGTATGGGAACCTTATTGATCTCCAAAATCCGTGAAGAATACCCAGACAGAATTATGAACACATACTCTGTTGTCCCCTCTCCAAAAGTTTCAGACACTGTTGTAGAACCCTACAATGCTACCCTTTCAGTTCACCAATTGGTTGAAAATACTGATGAAACTTACTGCATTGATAACGAAGCTTTGTATGACATTTGCTTCCGTACATTAAAACTTACAACACCAACATATGGTGACTTAAACCACTTGGTCTCTTTGACCATGTCTGGAGTGACCACTTGTCTCAGGTTCCCTGGTCAATTGAATGCTGATCTCCGTAAACTCGCCGTCAACATGGTTCCTTTCCCCAGGTTACATTTCTTCATGCCTGGTTTCGCTCCTCTTACATCCCGTGGAAGCCAACAATACAGGGCACTAACCGTACCCGAACTTACCCAACAAATGTTTGACGCCAAAAATATGATGGCAGCCTGTGACCCAAGACATGGACGTTACCTAACAGTAGCGGCTGTATTCCGTGGCCGTATGTCCATGAAGGAAGTTGATGAACAAATGTTAAACATCCAGAACAAAAACTCGAGCTACTTCGTTGAATGGATTCCCAACAACGTTAAAACTGCAGTGTGTGATATTCCTCCAAGAGGTCTGAAAATGTCTGCTACGTTTATTGGTAACTCTACAGCTATCCAAGAGTTGTTCAAGAGAATCAGTGAACAGTTCACTGCTATGTTCAGGCGTAAGGCTTTCTTACATTGGTACACTGGTGAAGGTATGGATGAAATGGAATTCACTGAAGCCGAATCCAACATGAATGATTTAGTATCTGAATACCAACAATACCAAGAAGCTACCGCTGATGAGGAAGCTGAATTTGATGAAGAACAGGAACAAGAAGTTGATGAAAACTAGACTTCTTTTAAACAATTAGCTTTAAAATGTCATTTTTGTTACTTTTTATTTTTAAAAAAAATTCTGTATATTAATCCATTATTTTTTTTATACTTAATGCTTTATCATTCCATGATACATTTCCCTCATACTAAAAAAAACACTGCTTTTTTATTTTGAATTATTATAATTGAACAATATAGCTTTATGAGATTAAAATTTAAAATTATTTTCAAGCACATGAATATTATTTGTATTTCATTGTATTGATTTTATATTTTCAATCCTTTCAGAACTTTATTAGTTGATAGTTAGTTAATCCAGTGAAATATTGAGATACAATATTAACATAATCATAATTTTAATTAATTAATAGTTTTGCTTCTTGACTGGAAATAGGTATAAAATGTTACATAGCCAACTAAGATATTGCAACTTTTTTTGTTGTTTGAAAGGGAAATTTCAAAACTTGATGTCTAGTAATTTATATAAATATATCTGAAAAGATAATAAGGTCTTGGTTTCCCCAATTCTTGTGCATTAGAATGAAGGTTAGAAATTACTATTTTATTAAGTATTTTCAAATTTTGTTTTTTTGGTTGTATTAAATTTTTATCCATTATCTAAGAATTTTCACAAATTGTATGCAGAAGTATACAGTGTAATGTAAAATATTAAGTATTAAATTTAATCGCACTTGGTTAATGTTCATGTTTTGCTCATGAACATCTATGCTTGCATCCAGTGGCCAGTGCTATAACCAGGTATTTATCAGGCATAGTATGGTCCTAGCAAAACAAAATATAATTTTCTTTAAATAATCGGTAGGTAGGTAGGTATCTAAAACAGGAGGGTGGCCGGTACAAGTATGTCGAAAGATTAAATCATAATATATGACATATTATTTTTAATTAAACTGATCGGTATGACCTAATTAGGGCTACTTGCTACTAATTTGCTTTTTGTGACTTGCGCTAGTTTACTTCTGTGGTACAGAAATATTCAAATTAATATTACTTAGTATATAATATCTCATAAATAAAAATATTGTATAGATAAAATACCTACCTACATTTTTTTTTGAAAGTGTTGATGTAGCCATGTACATAGCTAATTCAAAATTTGAAAGCATAGTTTCTTAGTTATTAAAATGTTTGTACTAAGGATAAAAGTCCTTAGAAATGGTTTAACAAAAATATAAGTACACATAATATTGGAGCTAGTATTTATTATTAATTATAAAGTAGCGCCGAACACATGCAGTTGCCTGACAAATTTTTTTGGGTGCTGGGTTGTAGGTGGTTTTGCAGTGGACCGTGGTTTAGACTTAGGGGGGGGGTTCACATTTGAAAAACAGAAGCTTGTATCTCCACAGGATACTACTTAAGTAGAACAAAAAATTTCAATAATTTTAAAATATGGTCATAAAGTACCTATACTTAAAAATTCCAAAAATCAGATTTTGAATGACTACATTATCGAAAAAAAAAGAGTGAGCATGGTGAGTCACTGTATATAATAAATTAAAAAAATGGTTTATAGGTAATCAAGAAAAAAAATTTAAAATTTGCTTTAATTTTTTTGACAGTAATTTTCCTGGTGAAATAGGGACTTCGCTTCATAAAATGTGTCTATAGATAGGTAGTAGGGGCGCATGTAAACTCCGACACGAGAACCTTTTTTTAGTGTAAACTCCGCCAGGAATATATAAAACAGGTAAAATTGCGTTCATATAAACTCAGCCAGTGCCAACAATCAGGTAAAAATGAGTTCATGTAAACTCCACCAGTGAAAAAAATCAAGTAACAGTATACACTATTACACTAGGTAGGTACCCATACAATTTATATAATATATAGATTATTATTAAACAAAAAATCATAATTTTATAATCCAGCTCCACGGTCGTGGCTCGAGCTAAGTAAAAAAAAAAAAGTCGCTCTGCTGTACAGTAGGTTACAAGTAGGTCACTGTATAATGGATAGTATTAAATTTGAATTCAATGATATTAAAACGGTTCTGAGCGGAGACGGTTTATTAGTCATATAAGTGATATTTTAATAATCCTTCGCCATTTATTTATTTTGTTCATCACACTTAGTTTCTTTTGAAATAAATTATTGAAACACAATAAGTTTACTTAAATTCAATATAATACCTACTTAGCATTTATTCATGATACCACATCTTTATAGTGCTTAAAGTTCTTATATAGTTTTTACTTAGCCATTTTTCCAGGTAGTTTACGAAAGGTTTTTGTTGAGATAATAATTATCCTTATCAAATAAGTATACCTATCACCCTATACCTATGCCAAAAAATATATAAAAATAAAAAATAAAAATAATAATTGTTCGAACAATTCATACAAATTGCAATGGCCAGTACCTATTATGTTAAAAAATAATGATAGACAATTGTAATAACTAATAATCAAAAAATATGTAGCAGTACCTAGAGCGCCAAATAGCGTGAAAAAAAATATTAATTACCTACATACTTAAATCACATATTAAAATATAATAAAATGTAATTTAATAGAAGTCCAAAATAATAAAATGTAATACAATAAACAATAATAAATACAATTAGGTATAGTAGATACCTATATAATTATTATAAAAATGCTATAAAATAATAAAAATGTAATATTATTATTAAGTAGGTACACCTCTTTCTTGTGTTGTGACTTAGGACTGTTAAAAAGGCCTGTTTATAGGCAGGTATAAATATAACATATTATTATACCAAACACTTTGTTTTTATGTAATGTTCCTAATCAAACTACAAATTATAAGTATCTATAGTAATCTCGTATATATAATATATTTATTAGTCTACTATATTTTAAAAACCATCCGCAGGATGAATTCCTATTATAACAAACTAAATTTTTTTTAAAATTACCTCTGCAATTACCTTTCAATTTATGATGAATCATTTATAATATTAAACTTTTTATATTTATCTATACAATTTAATATATACCATAATATTACCATTACACTAAAACTAAATAGTAAATTACTCAATTATAGGAAAAGCCAAAAATATGATATCCATTAGTTAACTTGAAAATTAAATAAATATTTTATAGTAATATATACACTATATAGGATAGAAAGCTCCCTTCTATTTTAGATTCTGAGCGGAGCGATGAATGTATTGGTTTTACAATGATGTGTGTTTTTTTTTATTTATTTTTGTGTCTGTCATCACGTTTTAGGACAGTAAAAGTTCTTAGATTTTCTTCAACAGTAGCTTTTCTGATAGAAAAGTGAATCTAGTTGGTACTTTGGGATTGGGGGGTCAAAAAATTAAGGAAAAACGGGAATTTTTACGCAAAATCGGTTTTCCAAAAAATCGATTTTGGTTTTTGGTGTAATTCTAAAACAAATGAACGTATATATATGAAATTTTCACTGGTTGTTTATATTTGCATTTTATATACACGATAATATTTTCAAAATATTTTGATTTATTTTGAACTGTTTAGGGACATTTTCATTTTCCATCTTTTTTTAGTTATTTTTCTAAAAATATCAATAAAATTTTATTTGTTGGTTGCGAAAGCTTGAAAATTTAATAGAAGGCTCCTAATATATTGTTTCAAAGGCAGATGAAAAATATTAAAAATCCTTAGTCACAATTTTTTTTTATTAGCATTTAAAGTACAAAAATTGTAAAAATATGGAAAAATCACGAAAATTAGCGAATTATTTTGAGTTAAGAATTCGTAAAAATTTTTCTTTTTAAATCTAAGATTTGAAAATGTAATACAAGATTACTCATAAGTTTGTCTACCTTTATCAATAAAAAAATCTCTACCGGAAAGTCAAATTAAATTGTTATGAGAGTTTGAAATTCAAATTTTTACAACATTGGATGTTCACTCGATTTCTCATGTAGCGATTTCCTTATTTTGTTGTAATTCAAAAACGAATAACTGTAGATACATGAAAATTTCACTGAATGTTTATATTAGCATTTCCTATACACCATTCAATTTTGAAAATATTTTGACTCTTTTTGAGCTGTTTATGGACATTTACAGCTATCAATTTTTTTAGTTTTTTTTTTCTATAAATATCAATACAGTTTTATCTGTTGGGCCAAAAAGTGTAAAAATTTAATACAAAGCTCCTGATATATTGGTACAATAGCAATTGAAAAATTTTAAAAATACTTAGCACAATTTTTTTCTATAAGCATTTAAAGATCGAATTTTGACAACATTTATCAAAATCTCGAAAATTATGAATCATTGTAATTAATAAATTATAAAATGTTCAGTTTTTATAGCTAAGGATTGCAAATTTAAAACAAAGGTTCTCATAAATAGTTCTACTGTAACCAAAAAATCTAAAAAATATATGAACACACTTATTTTTTACAGACATTTTAAATTCAAATTTGGACGAAATTACATATTAAAAAACTTAGAATAACTATTTTAGTTACTTTGTTGTGATTGAATAATATTATTCGTGGTTACTTGAAACTTCTAATGTGTACTATTATCATAGGCGCAATTAGGGGGGGGGGGGCTTGGGGGGCTTAGCTCCCCCAGTTTTATCCATAGCCCCCCCAGTTTTTATACGATTTTACTTGAAGCTTATTAAAATTATTATAAAAATTTCAAGTATCTAGGATTATTCGTTTTTAAATTACGACAAAATATAAAAAATTGATAGATGAAAATTCTTTAATTTACTGATAAAAATTGAAAATTGAATGTTGTACACATTTTAGATTCAAACACTCATAAAAAATGTATGTTACTTTCCAGTAAACTTTTTTTTTGTTTAAGATAGTACCAATTGTGAGGAGTCTTTTATCAACATTTATAATGTTAGCTATGAAAGGAAAAACTTATATACATTTTTAACTGAAAATTTAAAAAAAAATTTGAAGAATTCTAAATTCTAATATTTTATATACCTATAATCATTACAAACAATAATTTGTGTTTCTACTAAAAACGAAGAAATAAAAAAAAAATATTAAGTAAAGCTAAAAAAAACTATTTTTTTCATATGATTTTTCAATTTTTGATGTTTTTGAACTGGGGGTGCTGAATCACCCCCCAAGCACCCCCCTAGTTGCGCCTATGATGTATGGGACAAGAAAGATTTAGTTACTTATCTATTTTATGTATAGAAAGAGACATTGCTAATTTAATCGACACTCAGCTCATTGTTGATAAATTTTCACAAAAGGATAGGCGTATTACTTTAATATAAAATAGGTAATGATACTGTTAATATGTTATGTGTTATGACTTATGGGTTTGTACTTATGTAATTTATTATAATGATATCCTCATGGGGATATCCTCAGGGGTAGAACATTTTTTGATTACACATGACACTTGTAAATATTTTTAGCCCCCTCAGATTTTGGACCCTAGTTGCGCCTATGACTATTATAGTATTATATATCTATGATAGTATCAGGGTTTGTTGTTGATGTATAACGCGGTATAAGTATCTAATGGATATTGTGATATGATTAATTTAGAATTTATTATAGGTACCTATTATAGGTCAATTTTTTGTTTAATACCATAGATATGTATATAATATGTCTTATACCTAGACTGACATACCGTCTCCGCTCAGAATCGTTTTTCTTATACAATTATATTATATCATTGAATTCAAATTTAATACTATCCATTATACAGTGACAGACTTGTAACCTACTGTACAGGCGTACAGCAGAGCGACACCCACTAGTCCACCTTTTTTTTTATGATATTTCTGATTTTTATGTAACTTTAATGTATTTTTCAATACAGTTTTAACATATCTATACTTCAATTTTGGTATATTTTCATTCAATTTGTTTCGGGACTTTTTTTTTCCGATTACCACCTATATTATATTATTATGACATCTTATGTTATAATAGTATAATACTAATAATATTTTGAACTGTGAACTAAAATTATGTGATACAATTTGTAGATATTCAGACCATTAGTCTAATTTAAATCCATTATTATAACTATTTAGTATTTATAGCTTTCTTTAACACAATAATTATTTTTTCATTTTGAATTTTTGAGTTTACTTAGTAGAGAAGTATCATTTAGTTTTACATAAGGAAGGCCTTAATACTGGCGGAGTTTCCATAAACCCATTACAGGTAAGAAAATAAAACTGGCAGAGCTTACATTAGACCTTTTCATTACCTTTTTATCTAACCGGTATTCCGGGCGGAGCTTACAATCGCCCAGGTAGAGTAGGTACCTGTATGCAACATAGACGATGCAATCCATTATAAATAGTTGAGCCCTTGTCTAATGTGTATTTTTATGTTGATACGATATATAGGTAGTGGAACAAAGAATTTAATACTACTTTTTTTTCTCAATATTATTGAGTATAAAACTATAAAATGGTGAAACTATAATAAGTTAATACCCATTCAAGACATACTCTTATAGTTTTTTAAGTATTGAAATAAAAATAATGTATTGATTTTATGATTATTGATTCACCTACAATCTTCATCACAACAATAGGTAAGTAAGTACCTAGGTACCTATATTAGATACGACATTGAATATTACAACTATAAACAAGTTGTTAGGTACCTAACCACTTTGCTGTACAGTATACCTAGGTGCATAGACTTATAAACTTAGTTATTAATTAGTTATAACTAGACACTAGTAGGTAATTAGTGTCGTGTACTCGTGTGTTCCTCATGTTCTCATCGTTGAGTTGGTCACTGTAATGGTACAAATTCTGAGCGGAGACGTTACTGCCGTTACTGGGTTAACCTATTGTATATTCTATATTTAAATGTTATTTTTAAAATAAACATACAACAAAATATAATATATAATCGTTATTATATTATACATATAAGACAGCAAGACATAATTAATAAAATAATTAAATTCAATACGGCTTTATTCGGTGTAGCTCTGTGAAAAATAATAATGTCCCAAAAATACTGAAAATGATACTAAAAGTTTGTTATTTTTAATTAATTTTTGGAAAATATTTAACAACGATGACTTTGGGTAGTAGTGACTGCGGAATGTATTTAGGTGGCCTATAAGATGGCTTCGGGTTTGCCACTAGTTTTAATTTTTAACAGTAGTTTTTGAAACTCTATTACAGAAGTTTGAGGAACGGATACTGGTATAATTTACATTAGTACCTACATTATAGTAGTGAACATTGAACTAGGGCATATTTCAACTACTACTTAACGTAGGTTAACTGGTTACCGTATGGTCAGCTGGGGTGCATATAATATTATATAAGCCTTTTTTTTGTAACGTAAAAGAACGACTCGCCATAGGAATCGCTGTCTTGATAGAAATAATATAGCAATATTATTGGTAGGAAGACGATGACGTTGCCGCAGGATGCATCGTACGTCATTCGATATACCTACTCCGACGTATTGGAGTCCAGCAGCTTCTGGGAATCAGAATTGATAGTCTGCTGCTGCAAATCACAATCGCTGGCCTGTTCCGGTGAATCATCGTCGGCCTTCAGATTTTCTGACGACGCACTGTAACAAGAACCTTCTTGTGTCATGGAATAGTAACCGTTCGTCCGGTTGTAGCACCACCGGCACACCGTGGTCGGGAGGCAGACAAAGAACAGCGTGTTGGCGATGAACTCCTCGCCCCTGTCCAGCAACCGTATGTTCCGGGACTTGGTTATGGGGTGCACGCAGTAACCATGGTCGTCTCGGATCACTGGGCACGGTCTGAGTTCCGGTTCCTTGTACACGACCAGCTGTCGTTTACCCGAACCGACTATCCACAGCCAGTGGCTGCTAAACGATGACATAGCTTTGAGCAGGCCCAGAGTCAGCGCTACGTACAGGTATCCTATACACAATACCAGACTGGCGACCAGCGTGTCCCAGCCCCTGACAGCATCCTCTGCGACCGCCCCCCTGGGTGGCACGTCGCCTAGGAACCCTGCACCAGTGTACTCTGCCTGGCTCAACGATCTGCCACCTGTGGGGTATTGTGACTCAGACTGGTAACACTTGCACCGTCTGTGCCACAGGCAGTAGCAACCGGAACCGCGGACGACCTTGAATTTTCTGGAGACCAATGCTACGGTGGAGGTGTGGTCGATATACAAACACACTGGAAAATAGACAGACCGAAATAAATATCAGAACTTACGATGAGGCACTCACCTGAGGGCGGCAGTGGTCAGTTAACACTGGCGTTTTAGTAGGGGGTTTCCGTTTTCCGCCAAAGTGACCCTTGCCCGTCATTGTAGTGTCTACAAATTCGCTAGATTAAACCGGTGTGAAAAATAATTCATCGGGAAGTTTGGACCATATTATATCGTTTACATGGTTCATTATCCCGGTGCGAGATAATACGGGATAATTTTAAACCGGTGTAGTTTAGCGAATTTGTGGACCATGTCTTTCCATCAAAGGTTATATTCTAGTTTCCACAAAAAAAAAAAAATTATATACCATATAAGATATTTTTTGAGAACTCCTATTATATACCCCTCGTTTTTATTATTCCATTGAGGCTGGAACCCGGATTACCGCTTGGACGCTGACGAAAGCTTCAGACTTCAGTCAGTCTATACCGCAACGACATTAGTGAAAATTACTTATTGATTTTTGAATTAATTATTAGGTATTTAACTGTGTTGATTGCGTTTTTTTTTGTATTATGTCTGAAACTATTTAAGTGATAGCTAGTAGGTAACCATACTATGCTATAATTTACAAACATTTTAAATTTATTCATGCACAATTTTGTCATATTTCGTATATCTATGCATATCAAAATGGAATTACGCGGTGTAGGTGGTAAGAAAAAAGTACTTTTCGTATAGTTAAAATTGTAATTAACAATAATTTTGTACTTTTTATGTAATTTTATTTTATAAATTAATATATTTTGAGGCTAATTTAGTGATGTTTGTAATAATTAATATTTATGTTGTAGGTACCTACCTAGTACCTATACAGTATACTTACTAATTATACTATTAGTTTAATTTAGTTTTATATCCAATTTAATACATTATTTCGACGCTAAACAAGTAACCTTGATATGACATAAAGACTATACAAGGTGAGGCGTATATATTATTATATATTATATTGTAATAATTACAATTTTATGGATTTAAGTTCTCAAAAAATATCTAAAATAATATACATTCATTTTTGGCGGTAATTGAAATATAATTTTTGGCGGAAAACGATCATGCCCGCGTTTCAATAGCCAATAGGTATAAAATATGTACTATATAATGTGAAAAATAACCGAAGCTTCAGTTGGTGATAGTTTCAAATGTCTAGCAATGATACTTTTTGTAGTTAGAACAAAAAAACCAAAATCATAAATTAGGTTTTTGTTTGTGGATTCACCTGTGTATTGTATATTATGTGAAAATGTGTGAAATTCCAAAAATTACATATTTACAGGACGGCATACCTAGCAGGCGTGGTTCTAGGACTACATTTTCGCATGCGCAACAGTAGATTGATAATTAGGTTTTAACCGAGAATAATATACCTCATTTCCTCCCCCTTCCCCAATAAAAGTCACCAGAAATGTTGTATTGGCAGCTGGGGAGTAACCGAATTGGTTCCCGTTTGGCCGAATTGGTTCCCGTCTGAAAAAGGTATTTCATTAAGTTGAGCCGAATTGGTTCCCGTTCAAAAAAGGTATTTTATTAGGTTGAGCCGAATTGGTTCCCGTTTGTGTACAGGTAATTTTTAATTTTTAATAATTGGTACAAAATATAAATTAGACAGTATAAAATATAAATGTACCTACATGGCTATACTCTATAATATATAGTATAATATACAATAAGATGGCTATATATTTATATATTGGAAGTTTAGCAAATTATCGGTGATTTCCCGATCAATTAAGATAACGATTGAGATATATGTACTTTTATCGGTGTATGGTACATCGTCTATATCGTATGTACGAATGACAATAATGTTGGTGAACAGTGAGCACTGTACAGCCTCGAATAACACATCGTGTAAATTTTTAATTTATATTTCGTATTTGAATTTATATTTTTTAATTTTAATTTTTCGTAATTATGGAGTTTATGTTTAGTGAAAAGGGAACTAAGTTGTTGATTATTGACAATTACAAGTTGGAATTTTTATGGAGACTTTAAACAGTATTCAGACATTAAATTATATTCAATTTCGAAGTAATAATACTAGAAAACTTACTAGCAAACAAGAAAAAAATAACAAATTCTTGGAAAATTGTATGACTGAGTACACCAAGATGAAGCTTACGCGAATTGAATATTTAAAGAAAGTTTGCTTCAAATTTGCAAATCAGCGTTTTTAAACATTTAAATTTGTTATATTTTATTATTTGTATTTTTTACCTACACCTAGTGATAATTGACTTCCGAATCAACGATTGAAAATTGTATATATTATATAATTTTTTTTATAACACACATTGACGCACATTTTTAACCAAGCCTACTTTTAAGTTGACAGTCCTAAGCCTGTAAAATTGAGAAGGAAAATGTGCGTAATTAAACGGGAACCAATTCGGCCGAACCCAACAAAACACCTTTTTCAAACGGGAACCAATTCGGTACACCCCAAAAAAACACCTTTTCCAAACGGGAACCAATTCGGCATGTGGGGTTGGAGCTCGGGAACCAATTCGGTACCAGCCGGCAGCTGCCCACCCTGCCCATACGCTAGAACCGCCACTGATACCTAGATATCTGATTTTCTACCTGAAACATGTGGTGATGTTCCCATCATATCGGAATATCGGATTATTTGTAAATCCTATAAAAATGGTCACTGACATAAAAATGTTATAACTTATAAATATACTGCGTTCGTCGTTCCGAGGACTTGCACGTAGAAGTGAGGTAGGTACTATACGACGTTGGTAGTATGTACTTAAAGTCGTTAAATTAGTCGTTAAGTAGTTAAATTCATTATAATAATAATATTAAAAAATATAATTATCGCCTACCGGTTGCGCTACATTCGATGGTGCTGTGGCATTCGAACTCTAAATTAATCTTTCCGGTCTGCTGGGGATGTACTATAACTTGCCTGTGTTGTTTTTCAAGTTTTTTCGAGTCTAGCGGACCTGAAACGTCGATAGAGAACTCTGCTGTTTGCAGGCCCAAGTTCGTCACGAATACGCGTAATTTTGCGGTGTTATTACAGTCGTTATCAAAAATCGCATGTATCTCGCTTATCTGTAGCAAAATCCTACGGAAATTTACAAATATTATAATAAAAATGTGTTATTACTTATCACAATACGGTTGAAGGTTGAAGCTTGAAAGGTATAATATCATAGAGTAACAATATATATTATATACATTAGATTAGTACACACTTCAGTAGGTACTACACATCTACCTAGTTAAAAATTAAAACTATAGAAAATCTTTCGTTATATTACTTTTTAATTATACGCCGATAACGAGAAAAATGTCTTATTAAAATATATTACCAGGAGTAGTGTTAGTCAAACAGACTCTCGTCTGCTGTCGGTTAAACAGGAAAATAAAATTAAAAAAGTATACTATCTGGAGGCCGTTCAGTTTTGTAAAATTATGGTAAAACTGTATAGTATTCAAGTAAAAACATAATGTAGATTATAGGTACCTACTAAAGCACTTCATGTCTGCATTCAATAAAAAACCATTAAATTGTAGGTCTTGGAGCCCTCGACTAAAGCGAAGCATTTTATGACGACTTATTTAATTTTCACATGCGCTGTCTCCCTCATGATGTCGATTGCTGAATACCAACAAAGTGCTGTGTCGAGTTGGGTTAGCATACGACAGAGTGTATCTTAACTTAAAAAGCGAGCTGGCTGCTATACTGCGCATCCGGAGAGACAGCGTATATATATATATATAAAACGCCATCTCTCTCTCTCTCTCTCTCTCTGTCTAGCACTACAGCAGCGCTAGTGATAGAGAGAGGGGATGGACCGGCAGCTAAAGTGTGCTTAGCTGAAGAGGAGAGCTGGCTGCTATACTGCGCACCCGGAGAGACAGCGTTTATATGTTTCGGGCAAAATAGACATTACGAGACTATTTTTCTGATATTACTCCCCATCGCAGCTCGAGTTAAAAAGCTTCACTTTAAAAATTAATATAGGTAATACTTGTCATTGACGACGGCGTTGTCGTCCAGTCTGATCTCTCCGACGCTCTGCACGGACATGGAGGATTCGGCAGCGGACAAGGCCGACTGAAGGTCCACGATAATGTGGTCGGCTACATTGTCGAAACTGATGTCACCTCGCACATAGTCTTCGATGAACAAACGACCACTTGGATCCGCCAATGGTTCCCCGCTGCAGTATCCCTCCCGCTGCTGTAGCAGTTGATTGGGCTGTTGGGTGAGACAGCTTCCCCTAGGCCGATAACACCTGTCAGGTTGCTCGTAGAAACCTCGTGGTCCCACTCCGATTCGGTCGCATTCGGCACCGCCGTTTTTCGACATCCTACTTGGATGGATCGCGAGGTACTTCCCAGCTCCTCGATCTGTAAAAAAGCGCGTCACTTAAGAGGATGACGTCGTACCCGAAGTTCCAATTTTGTGTTGTCAGCTTCAATACAAAAGTGAATTACCTATTATCAAACTTAAATGTAAGAACATTATCTGTGATCTCTTGTTGGTTTTTTACGATATTTTTAAATTTTAAGTAAATTATGAGTAGGTATGTAAAATATTAATACCTAAAAATTCCTATAATTCATTTTATATTATATGACTCTGCAGTGGCGCATTAATAAATCATATATTTATATGTTAATATGTCATTATATGTACTATGTAGGTATTTACTATTTCTAGTTTAGGAGCTTTAATTAGAAACTATATACCTATAATATAGTACCTATAATTATGAAAATATACATTTATTGCACAAAAAAATAAACCAAATAGGTATTTAATTATTTTGTATGTACCAAAACATTTTATTTTCATTATTATTATTATTATGATTATAGTTTTAATACTTTAATGAAAATGTTGGTGTTGTTTTGAATTAACAATACTAATTAATAATGATTATGGGCTATGAATTAACAAAAAATAAAACCAGATGATATCAGTGAAGAGTGCCAAAGTTACAGTTGACCAACGTAATTAGTTGACAACGTAACATTTATAATATATTACTAGTAAGTAGGTAGTAGCCATAATATGTAATATTGTAGTGTACTAATATGTATTCTTTTATGGCATACCGTTAAAGTGCGGGAGCCCATATTGATACATTTTGGGCACGTCCTGAGGTATCAGAACAAACATGGCCATCAGGTCGTTTTCGACTGTTTCATTTAAACCTTTGACCTCGTACTGATACGATACCAAATCCTTGAAAATGGTCTGTTTGCTGTTGGATGATCTGTGGAAATATATTTATTTTTTTTTATATATATATATACTTATTAATTAAATTATGTTTGTTTTTACGATGACGAAGAACATTGTTGGTGGAGCACGTAAACGCTACTTTCGCTTTTTTTGAATAATTCCAATGTCAGTGGTAAGACCGTTTCCGATTTCTCTACTTTATAAACATTGAACCTGAACCAGTTATGATAAATATAAATATTGCCTGATAGTTGTAATAATATTGTTACAGTTATGACCAGTGGTCGGTGCCCCCTTCCCCCTACGGTTGTGTGTGTTGTACCTATCATCCCTATTGTCACTTTGTGTTCTATGGCGTTATAATTAATTAGACTAAAACGTAAATATATCGGTAGTGTTGTTTTGCAAAGCCCTTCAAAAAAATTGGTTAGTACCTAATATCCACTTATCACCTCATCATATTGATACAAATGATAAATTTTTTTAATTTCATATTTTAGGTATAATTTCATAATTTTGCACATTTTAATATACGAACATATAAAAAATAGAAAAATTTAAATGTTTATAAATAGTTTAAAAAGGGTCAAAAATATTATACTATTATATGAAATTATATACAAACATTTGGTGAACATTTCAAGTATCTACGGTTATTGGTTTTTGAATTACAACAAGATAAGATACCTACCTACCTATCGATTTTGTTCAAAACTATTTTTGGAAAATATTCCCGTTTTTCTATAATTATTAATTAATTTTATTTTTTTCTGATAATTATGAAAAGTAGGTACTGGGAATTTTTAATTTTGACTTCTCAAAGTATCACTAGACTTAATTTCCAACAGAAACCACTCTAAAATATGAAGATTTAAGCATTTTGCTAATACATATTTATTATAATATATATTACATAGGTATACATTTATCACTTCGCTTAAAAATTAGAATCTAAAATAATATTAATTTAGGACATATTATGCGTATTACCTACCATAAATCACTATATCTAAAACAATGCGCACTCTCATGATAAGTAAATGCATTTGCATAACCGGGACTTCTACTGATGTTTTTACAATCTTGTTCGCCCCTCGGTTGAACAACGACATCGGCGTTTGTCGTTATCGAAATGTTATTTCTGTTCAGTACCTCGGACGATCTTTGTTGACGAGCAGCATTTACCGAATCGATACACGAACAACAAAAACCCTTTGTAAACAGGAAGAATTTAAGGTTATTCTCTTGTTAACTCCAAAAATTAGTTTACTTGCTTCCGAAAAAGGCACCGGTTCATTTAAGTTATAATACTGCATACCACAAGTGGGGTTGATATTTCTAGAATCACATCCGAAGTAATACTTCCTGGTCGCTTTACTGATCACTTCTTCGGTTGGCCCACCATTTACGTACTTGATAAATAATAAATTATATTTATACATAATAATTGTATAACTTTGAATAGCTAATGTTTATATTAAATGCACTCTAATATTATACCATGAAGTGGCCAGGTCACCATGCAGACAAGAAATTATTTTTTAATTATTATTTTTTTGTGGTGAATTATTGTTTTCATAAGTTTTTTCAATTTTGTCTTTACTATTTTCCAAATGTGACCCTCCAAAAATTTTAATTGATAACTACTGGTATAGAGTATAAGGGTTGGACTTAGTCAGGACTTTAGGATGTAGTTATTTTATACAAAAACCACATGGCCATTGATGACGACGACCTATACTATACGACCTACCAAAGTCCACTTAAAATAAGGAATAATATTGTGACGTAGTTTATTTTAAAATATTCACAATACTGAATACAGATACAATTTATTATTACAATAAAAAATAATTATTATTATTAATAATTATAACAATAAAATAATAGTATCACAGATTATTAGTTCTTGTAATATGAATTATGATTGATAATTGAAATACTATTAATACAGAATAGTAATAAAAATAAAAGCACTCACGTTTATAAAACGTAACTTGTATAATTCCTTTGGTCCAGCCAATTGGACTTTTAGAACGATTGGTTTCAAAAGACGATACGTTGTATTATTTAAATTTACTGAATCACGAACGTAATTAATAAATAGCACCTGGTAAACATTGAAATACATTTCATCAAATTTAAAATAACTATCATATTAATGAATTATATATTATGTTATCATATTATGTAGGTACGCATTTTAACTATAAAATAATTTATTGTCAAAGACTTATGTCTTTGACGAGGGCAAGCTACAAGAAGTTAAAAAATATATAAATAAAAAAAAATAACATTTTGTATTTTTGTACTTAGTTTGAAGGTTATATTACTTAATAGGTATTACAACGACATCATCAGACGACGATAAATTGCATCATCACTATAATTTGTTTGATAACTTGATTTCTGTTTTGAGTAAACATTTACCTACATTTTGACAGATATTTGTATTTTCGTTTTGAAAACTTTAACCAACATTCTATTCTATTATTACTATTCTTTTTTAATCTACCTCTGATAATTGATAAATAATAATAAATTTAATTTATGTACTTGCAGTCGCATCCAAATATGAAGTTATTATAAGTAGATCAAATTAAAATACAATACCAAAAAAAAGGTGCTCTGATGTACAGTAGGTTACAAGTGGGTCACTGTATAATGGATGGTATTAAATTTGAATTCAATGATAAAATATCATTGTATTAGAAAAACGATTCTGAGCGGCGACGGTATGTCAGTCTAGGTATAAGACATATTATAAAACATATCTATGGTACCTATTAAAAAAAACTGACCTATAATAGATAGTATACCTATAATAAATTCCAAATTAACCATATCACTATATCCATAAGGTACTTATAACGCGTTAGACATCAATAACAATAACACACCGTGATACTATCATAGATATATAGTAGTATACAGTATACTTTAGAAGTTTCAAGTACAAACGAATAATATTATACAATCAAAACAAAATAGGTAACTAAAATAGTTATTCCAGGTTTTTTAATATGTAATTTCGTCCAAATTTGAACTTAAAATGACTATAAAAATAAACTGCGTTTATGTATTTTTTAGATTTTTTGGTAACAGAATAAACTACTTACGGGGAATCTTGTTTTAAATTTTTAATCCTTAGATATAAAAGTTGAACATTTTATACAATTTTAACTACAAATAATTATTCAATTTTAAATTTGATAAATTTTGTCAAAATTCGATCTTTAAATGCTTATAAAAAAAATTGTGCCTATGTATTTTTAATATTTTTCAACTGCTATTGTAACAATATATCAGGAGCCTTGTATAAATTTTTACACTTTTTGGCCCAACAGATAAAGCGAAGACGGTTTATCAGTCAGTTTTAAATTTTTATTATTTATTATAATCTTTAAGTTGAATTAATATTACAATGTTATAATTTTTTATTCGTTGCTACGGTACTACACAAATCGTTAGAAATTAAAATCCTATTTTAAGCGGTTTTTGGTAATTTTTCAGTTGTTTTTCCCGTGGCATTAAATACATTTTGAGAAAATCGAAAAATGAAATGTCTAAAGTACCATTTTGATCCAATTTGCTAAAAGATAAGGTATTATATGTTGAAATCGAAGAAAACCTTCTGGTAGACATTTTGTATATAGGATATAAAAAATAAACACCATTGTAAAACGACTATAGCTTCCTAGCTCCGCGCCGCTCAGAATCTAAAATTGAATCTAAAAAATGTTCATATGTTTATTTGAATGGATACTATAATGTAATGTCGAGGTCCACATTAATAAACGGCAACACAACATTATAATTAAAAGAAATTTAATGTGTACAAAACATGAAAGTTACATTATATATTCTATTCTGTAGTTAAAAACTGGAAGTGATCCATTAGACAATTTAATCAAAAGTGTTTCTTAAAAGTAACATAACCTCTTACCAAAAGTAATCGGTTGTACAGTGCAACCACAAACACTACATATAATACACTTTGAAGTTTTTAGATGAAGATAACTGCTATCCATATTTTGTATTTAAACTTTAGTTAAATAAATTAGTTCTAGTTTAAATGCGAAAGAGGTACCTATACGGCTATACATAGCTTATATAATCTATGAGGCACTAGATAGTCTTAAAAACAATCATTTTTTTTTTAAAGCTACAGGTTATTGTTGGGCGCAAGACATATAAAAATATTATTAATGTTCCTAGGCTGGTTTACAATAATGGGTTAATTTAAATAATAATGCATCATTATAAACAGTCAAGCCATTGATCACTATACTTCACTCGCACATAATATAAATTACGATTTTATATTATCGTTATATAATAGGGACGGTTAAATATTTAAAAATATAAGAATATCGTATAGGTATGCTAAACTATTAAGATTGGGTATTTGTGTAACAGGTGCATTTATATGCTCTTAAATAAAATGGTAACTTTTATTAAAAGATATACAATAGGTAAGTACCTACAAAGGTACCTAGTATATAGTATATGGTATATAGTGTTGTTGTCCACGAAAATGTGAGATAAGCTACTTAATAAATGCGTTTACAAGTTGCACATAAAAAATATTCTATTTAGATTATTCTCTTTGATTAGTCTACTGACTACTGGCTAGTATAAACTAGTAACTAGCGTCTAGTGGTACAACTTACGTGGATAGTAGAAATGTTTTCGATTTCGAGATTCAACAGTACTTTATTGTTGGTATCTATAATTACGTCCGGTCCTGGTTTTTCTAAGTAGTCGATTATTGTTTCGCACAGAGTGCCGTTGCACGGTGTTTTTATGCATTTAAAATGTATATTACCACTATTTGAACCCGTACAGTAGTAGCCATTAGATTCACCAAGTACTCGAAATACTAAACACATAATTTGAAGGAATAATATCGAAAATATCATCGTAAGTACACAAAAAATATACATATACAACCAAATGCGTACCAATCGTGAGGTAGAAACGAAATAAAAATCAAATACGTACAGTTGTTATTTTGTAAGCTATAGAAACGCTAGACCACTTACATTCCCATATTAATTTACAATACAGTATAATACAACATTAGGTAGAGATATTATAAGTTTCAATCGTTTAGTGAATTAATGAATCAATCAAGAGACATAATTTTGTGCTATCACTTATCACTGCAGCATATCGTTCTGCTTATTATCGTTCAGCATTCAGCAGACTTTGAATAATTGTTGTTTTACTCTTTATCGAATTTCATAATTGTGTATACTTTCTTTCACATTATTGCTTAAAGCAAAGACTTACATCAATTATTGATATTTGTTAACAACTAAATTCTGTGAAGATATTTTATTTATAAAAAAGCAATTTGGTTTAAATGAATATCTACAGTAATAATTAATAAATAATAATATAGTAATAATCACCTGTTTATTAGTCAGTACATGGATTTACGGATGGATAAAACATTCCATTTAGTCAATGTGAATGTACAAAAAATATGTACTGCATTAACTATTAAGATTTGCAGTTTAATTATATTAAAAGTTCAAAGAAAAGTAAGTAGTAAATAGTAATGAAAACTTTAAATTATGCGATACTTCCAAAGTTCCAAATAGCGATAGGTACCTTAGTACGAATGGTATTTATGACTTGGCCATAAATCAACGGTGGAATGCAATAAAATGATAATGATTGAATTATACTTGGATGATTCTGCGTTTAATAAATTGTTAAAAAGAAGAAAAGAGGTATGCCCATTTCCCAAGTCAAATATTTTGTTATTACGAAATGAGAATGGATTTTATTCGAGCAGATATAATTAATTACCAAGGGTTGAAGTGTCACAATAGTTGGACCACTAAACTAGCACAGGCGTATAAATGCAAATTTGCTGAAATTGTAATAAATATTTTGTGAGTGTGTTTTTTGTTCGGTAAGATCAGCGCCTAACGGGTTTAAAATATGCATAGCCGCATAGAATGTTTTTATCGGATTTTAAAATGTTATACACAGTCACACAGAATAGGATATATAGAATAGTATTAAAATAGTTTGTGTATGCTAAGGATAAATTATTGGATAATAGTCTCCATGATAATATAGGTTTAAAGATATGAAAACTATTATGGAGTGTGATGATTTGAAAATTATAATTATTATTTATATTAATATATTAGCATTTAATTTGTAAAATTTAACCGAGTAAATAAATGTATTTTATATTTGATGTAAAACCATTAAGAATTTGTATTCTTAATAACTCTATAAAGTTTAATAACTCAGGGACTATTCAGTATATTTATAATTTATTTGAGATTCGAATTTTGATTTGGATGCTTATAAACATTTTCGAAAAAATAATTTGCTCAACAATTCACAATAAAAAGGATAAGTCTGATTGGAAAAAAATAAGTTTAAATCACCACAGGACACAGGACATTCCATATACGCAGATAGGTACGTATATAAAAAATCTAAGTTCCTATAAAAATATGGTTTTTAAGTTTAGAAACCAACTTTAAAATTGAATTGGGAATTTCAAAAAGGGCTCATAACTGAAAATTAAAATTTTTCAGGAAACATAAAAAACTAATTTTCTTTTTTATAGTACCAATTTTTTTTTTAAATTAAGGACTATTTAATGTCATGCCTAGGTAATAATATTCTTGAAGTGAAATTTTATTGAAAAAGTGATTCATTAAGTTTTCCGAGATGAGTCTTTTTCGAAATTAATACGAGGATTACATGGATTTAAAATTGAAACATATATAAGCCCTTTTCGCTCATAAAATATCGGTCTACATAAGCAGTAAATGAAAAAAACACGGGTAAGTATATTTTGATAAAAACTCGAGATGGGCCCGTTTCGAAATTCCCAATTCAATTACAAAAATCAGAATTCGAATATATACATAATTTAAGATTAAAATAAGGGGGAATTTTAGGTGAAGAACTTTGTGTATAATATATTATATTGTTATGCGATATTACCTATATACGACTATATGAGTATGTTACGAGTAATTATAAATGTATAATTGGATAATACGAGTAGGTAGGTAGGTACCTATTCAGTTGCATTAGCTGGATAATTTTAACATATTCTAACAATGTTAGATGAAGATCCATGCATTGAGTAAGAGGATCTGTTTTTTCAGATAATTTATCAAATTTATATAAAAATCCCCAAATACTTTTGTATCATTGAGTAGGTATCATTGATACTTGTTGTTTTAGTTTATGTGTTATAACTTATAACTTATAAGCGTGTACCATGTTGTGCTACGACGCTACGTAATCACAAACACGATAACATAATTTATCATTCATATTATGTACTTCCTCTAATTTTTAATTTATTATACTAAAATGATTAATTTCACAATAACCATCCGGTAGGTTAGTAGGTATTACATTTTCGTTGGTTTTAACGATTTTTCCTGGTATATTATGACAATGCTTAGTAAGTTCATAAATGATAAATCTATAACATATGTGAATTCATAGGCTCATAAATCATAATGTTATTAATTTTATATAGGTAATTCGTAACACTTGTGGTGCACCTATTTTATATTTGGGAGTCCGTAATCCGTATAACATGATATTCTGCGAACAACTCTGAAACTTAGGTATTGACAGTCAATTACATACTCGTATAGTCATACACCTATAATATAAATATAATATATATATATGTATAACATATGCGTATTAACACTAAATCGACTTGAACGAAAATAATAAACTTATTATAAAGTATTAGCACACATACCTATATGGCTATACTATTATAATAGTTGATGGTTTATTTTCGGATCCACGGGCGTATACCTACCTCAATTCTATTGTATGCAAATTATTTTTGATTAAAAACAATAGCCCATCTAAGGTTACAAAAAAAATTTCAAAACTTATATGTGCGCGCGTAAACATTATCACTTACATTATTATACTATTATAGTAACAGCTGCGATAGGTAGTACATATAGGGGCACCCCGCGAATTCGTTGGCCCGGTATAGTATTGATTTCCTCCGGTCGCCATCCTAACCGACAACCGTTTACACAAGTGGCGGCGTATGACGACGATATTATTATCATTGTCGCTGTTAGGTCGCAAGCAAGCGGTTCACGCGCCCGAATTTCCATTCGATTTTTTTTCCGTCTCTCAATTCCACGGCCGTCTCTTCGAACGGAGGAAATAACGGGAAAAAGTATTGCAATAAACGTAAAAACAACCGAAAAAAAATCGCGCCCTTTACGCCGTTTGCCTGCAGGCATAATATTCTACTATTAAAACAAATACGCGTATATTTCACTGTTAACGACAATATAGTAGGTAATAATCTTATTATTATTATTATCGTCACACGTTTCCTATGTGCTAGCTGTTTATGCCGCGTCGCGAACGGTCGTCGTGGCCACTATTATAGTGAATCCTTTTTTTTTTTATCTAGTCCGCAGCGCTCGTATCCACGCACACTATCACCGTACGCGTATTATGTGTGTCAATAAAACATCGTAAGTTTTTTTTTCAATTCAGTTTTTCCTTTGGCTAGTGTGAACACGGATCGATTTTTCCCCTCAAATATTGTTGTTTATATTGGAGCGTTCGATCATAATGAGTCTCTCGGAATCTGGATGGTGAGTAACTATAAGTTTATTACAATTACATATTTATGGTATATTGCGTGTACCTATGTACGTAGGTATGTCTTTAGTCTTGTGGTATCGAATATCGTAGATTGTTATGTAAAGTGCAGCTATGATAGTGGCTTTGAAACGTCTTTTGATGAAAACATATGTTGTTACTTTAAAACCGAAGTAGATACATTACAAGTAGGAACACACCTTACACTCACTGTGGATATCATATTAAATGTGTGTGAAATGCATTCATTATTATTTTTTTAAACAACGAGTTTAAGATTTCGAAATAACTGTTCGCCTGCATTTTTTGGGGATACTGAACACTTTCGATGTAAAATTTAAATGTTTCCTATCCCCATTCACAGTCAAATATTGAAAAAAACTATAAATACTTTTAAATATTAAAAGATTTTTAAGAAACTAGAAAATTGTATTTTTAATATTATGTCACTATGGTAGGTATTTATAATTTGGAACTATTAAATGCCATCAATCCATATAATATCTTTTAATTGTTATTTAAATACCTATAATAGTTCATTATTTATTGCTAGGGTTAAAATGTATATGCTATAGAAAATAGAAAAACTTGCAATACAAATATAATAAAATATAGTATGAATTAATAAACTAAAGAATAGCATCTTATGATTTTAAAATATAAATTGAATAAAGTTACTTTTTATATAGGTAAGCCTAATAATTTTGGCTTATACTTACTTTTGGATAAACCTATGGTATTTTTAAAACAATTTGATATATTTTACATTAAGGGCAAAATCACTTATTTTATTAAGTTGAAATTAGGAGCATAATATGGCGTAGCATCTCACCTTTTACACTACTTTGGGTTTAAATATACCAAAACTAAAATAAGCATTATTTATTCTCTAATTAGTTAAAATATTCAATACATAATAATAATACTAAAAAATTTGTAAAATTAAAACAGGGGAAGTCGCTCTCTTGTACCTATAGTAAGGTGTCTAGTATACTTCATCAATGAGTACCTAGGTCACTGTAATAGTGTAATGCATGTGTACAATTTTTATTTCAATAATGATAAATCATTAGTCATAACTCATAACCATACGAAAAACGATTCTAGGCGGAGTTGGACTGTCAGTCTATATTACTAAGTACCTATATATACTTTTATTTTATATTTATACTGCTGCCATAATGATTTATTTTACTATTATAATAATACGTTACCTAAGGAGCAGATCGTAATCTAAATATTTAAAAAATTCCATTGAGTAGGGTAAAATAATTAACGTACAAATTTAAATTTAAAAAAAAGCGGGTAAGTGGATGTCGCTCTGCTGTACAGTAGGTTACAAGTGGGTCATTGTATAATCGATTGTATTAAACTTGAATTCAATGATATAATATTATTGTATAAGAAAAACGATTCTGAGAGGAGACGGTTTGTCAGTCGGGATATTTTATATTGTTATTATTTATTATATCATTTAAATTTAATTAATATTAAATTATAATTTTTTATTTGTTTCTATGGTGATAAACAAAGCGCTAGAAATTAAAATCCCATTTTTGGTGGTTTTTCGTAATTTTTCGGTGGTTTTTCCCGTGGCATTAAACAACTATTGAGAAAATCGAAAAATGACTTCTCTAAAGTACCATCTTGATCCAATTTGCTAAAAGATAACTGATAAGGTACTATATGTTGAAATCGAAGCACTACTTCTGGTAGAAATTTTGTTTACAGAATATAAAAAAATAAAAAATAAACACCATTGTAAAACCACTAGCTTCCTCTCTCCGCTCAGAATCTAAAATAAATATTTTAAAACACACATTATGTTGAACCCAATACATTCTTCGCTACATTCAAAATCTCAAAATATATTAGCTACATAAAAACTGCATAAACTGATACACATCAATTTAAATTAAATTAAATTAAAACTGTTTACGCCGAGCTTTTTCATTTGGAAAATATATCAATTATATCATCGTAATTTAATTTCTTTGTTAAATCTGACCCATAACAGCTAAAGAATTTAGCCTTTCGTCAGTACTCCATGATCTTAAATAAGATTTGATTCTTTTTAAGACCAAAAAAGACCTCTGTACAGAAGTTAGAAATATATCAGGAAAGACGACTATCAAGTTTTACATTTTAAAACACTGAACGTGTTCAGACGTTCAGTATCACAAATAATGATTTATGGACCATAGTAGGTATACATAACATATCTACTTAACTATTTAATTATCTACAGCCATAATAATAATTGTGAACGATAATACATAAACGTAGTAATATCTCAAACCACAATACTTTTCTTAAGTCCAGGTATTATCAATGCATGTTTTTCTTGATAAATAATAACTACAATTATAATTGTTTAACTTTTTTTTTTTATCAGCCAAATATATCAAAATGGTTTCTAAAATTTAAGACCCCTAAAAGTTTTCCACCCATAAAATGTCTGGTTCCGTATTTTAGAAAATATAAAATAATAATTTTGGTATTAAAATTCTAACGTAAAAATTGTAATTATACTAATGACTAATAAGACATATAAATTTTTTTTGTTCAGGAATACGTATGATGCTCCAGGGTTGAACCGTTGGCAAAATAATGCTAATGGCTCAACTGTAGCTAAAATGCAACACAAGTACTGGGTAACTAAACAGCAAGTATGTAAAAAATTGGGGAAAAAGGATGACGAATTCATAGTAGCTTCGGACGCTGAACTCGATGCTAAATTAGAACTATTTAAGTCTATTCGTGGTAGTTGTCAACATTTGCAAAGGATTGTCAATAAATACGACGAAAAAGTTTATAGTGAGTATTATTTGTGTTAAGCCCACCAACTATCTATTTAGAGCGCTTATACGTTCACAAGGAATATAACATCTTATAATATTGAACAGTTTCAAAATATCACAATATGATGTTATCTATACATAATATAACTTGTAAAATAGTTTACACTTGTATCTTGATAGATAACAATATATTTTACTATAGGTAGGTAACTATAATAGTAGTAATAAAAGTAATCACAATTAAAATACTTTTGAATAAAATTATATTATTTATTTTTAAAGATTTAGCATATGAAGAAAATCAAATGGGCCTGTTTTTAAAAAGATCTGGGAACAAAGATCAAACTAAAGCTGGTGAAATGATGCAAATTTTGGGAAGTTGCATGGCACAGTCAGGACAAGAGAGAATTGGTTTACGTACGCCATTGGCCAGGTTACACCAGGTATAATATATAAATAAAATTCAAAATTATTATTAATAATTACCTTATAATATTATAAAATAAAAACAAGAATTTGGGGGACGGAGTAGCCGAGTGGACTAAGGCGTCGGTTGTGAAGCACATCTACGCTGGTTCAAACCTCGGTTCAAGGGCGGCATTTTTCTTCGAGCAAGTCACGTTGTCCTTAGAGAAGTGCCGCCATCCCCCACCCGGGCATGGCAGATACCCCGAGTGCCCACTAAAAAAAATCTGCCAAAACTACCCACACGTGTTTACAAACCAACAGTACCCCCCCTTAAAAACAAACAAAAACAGCTAATGGCCATAGTTGTCGGGCTTAACGATCAATGGAAAAAAAAAAATACAAGAAGAAAAAAAATAACTCTCAATTAAAACACAGTGTAAATAAAAAATATTATTTCAAAACGAACAGTTGATTATTATTTATTACCGTATACAATTAGTATATAACAAGGAAAGAATATTTTATAAGTTGTAATTTACAAAAATTAAAAAATAACATGTGCATTATACATTTTTTTATTTCATATTATTTTAAAAGTAGAAAATTATACACACTACTATGACATTGTCACATTGTGAAATAAATAACAAAATAAATGATTACTATTTTTAAATTTTCTATTAGTCTGAAATGTTTAACAGTCATGAATCTATGACCCGATATTATTTAACCATATGAATAGAAAATTAAAAACTGAATTTAAAAAAAAAAATATTATTTTATTCGAAGTCTGAAATCCCAATTCACTCACTACATTTAATGGTAATATTAAGTTACGCGTTCTGCTAGTAAAAGTGACGTGTATTGTGTAATATACATTATATTATGCGGGTTAACGATTTTTCGCAAATTGCATAATTACTCAGCAGAGAGCTACCTGATATTGAAGTTGTTCTCCTTCTTTCTGAATCGACGATTGAATCGTCAAGTGCATAAAATATTATAATTATTATTTATGATATGGTATTGATGTGTTATATAGGAAATAGAAACTTTTTGTTTGAGAGCTGTGGAGGATACTCAGGGCGATGTAAAACGTATGGAAAATGCCCGTACAGACTACAGGGCTGCTCTGAATTGGATGAAAGACGTTTCCCAAGAACTTGATCCGGACACCAATTCACAGTTAGACAAATTCAAAAACGTGCAGACCAAAGTAAAAAAGTCCAAACAGCAGTTCGATCACCACAAATTGATTTGTTTGCAAAAAGTTGACCTGCTAGCCGCTGCGCGTTGTAATATGTTTTCACACGTCCTTATTTTTTATCAACAAAGTTTGCAGCGATTTGCCGAATCGGTCGCAGCGTCGTTTGAACACGCAACTAAAGATTTTAAACGTAAGCATGGGAGGCATACGCATACAATCATTAATTAATTGTTTTTTTTCTAAATTTAAAATCGAATCATATTATTAACATTAAAAACTTCAATCGTTTGATGCACGAAATTATTGGTAATAAATCGATACTATATTGGTGTCAATTATTTTCAACGTTAACATCTGTTATTTTATTTTATAGTTTACACTTTTTAATGATGTAATTGTTTTCACTTACCTACCTACCTATTTTTATTTTTTTCGACCCCCATTTTAATCCCATTTTCAACATGAATAATCTTAAGGAATTGGGAGCAGTGATTTACTGTCTTTGTCTAACACAGGTGGAACATAGGAATTTAGACGTGTTTTATTCCAACGATTGATCTAAATATCTAATGAAGCAATAAGAATTCTAAAAACGGGTTTGAATTTTTCGTTATGTCTACTTGAGATCAATTATCCCATATTTTTAATTTAACCCCTAAATCCTAAAAAAAATCGTACTAAAAAGGAAATGGAATATTTAAATTGTTGGAGAAGTTAAAATTAAAAAATTAAAAATGTGGGAAAGTTGATCTCAAGTAGACATAATGATGACAAATTCAGACCTGCTTTTAGAAATCTTATTGCTTCACTAAATCAATTCGTACGTTGGAATGAAAACACGTCTAAATTCCTATGTTCCGCGTGTGTTAGACAAAGACAGAAATCCCCGCTTCCAATCCCCTTAAATAACATTTACTGGGTTCTCGTAACATAATACTTACCTACCTACTCCATTTAACAATATTATTTACATTTTACAATATGATATTATTTTTAACCCTAGAGTACCAACATTACGATTTCAAAATGATTAAAGAGTTGCGAACGAACTCAGTGAAATCCACGTCCAAGGCAGACGATAACAGCAATGACTCAAGGTATACATTTTTTTCGTATAATTTAATCGTAACATTGCTGTTTTATGAACCATGTATCTAAATCTGATAGGTAGCCAATAGGTAATTTTAAACTCTTATTTAAAATGTTAAATTAGCTCGTACACTGAATTGGGCATCGAAGCAACACCCGACCAGATTGAAGAAACAAACGAATCTGTTTTGCTTTCGTTGCTCGACGGAAGCGACAGTTTTGGAAATTTCTTATCAAATCCTTACGAAAGTAATCAAGAAGAAAAGGACTCAGAACTTAAACGATATGGAACAGGAGATGAATTTTTACCGTCCCAATTATTGTCGGACTTGCTATCCGGGTCAACTGCGCCTGTTAATACTACTACTAAAGTGAGTTGATAATGTTCAATTGATGAAAGCTAACTCAATATTATAGTTCAAATCCGTAAACTAAGTAGGTATAACATTTTATAGTGTGATGTATTTATACATCATAAGTGCTTAGACTCGAATAAGTGCCATGAATATGGTAATAGGAGGACATTTGGTTCCATTTTTTTTCTAGTGGGAGGGTTTGCATTATCCAAAATAAATTGGCCCGCACGGCTGTATGCCGATTACTATTTATGTGGTCCATGAATGTATACATTATATATACATGCAATTCATTTTGGTGAAGCCCTCTCCGATAACTTCCTATACACATGGCATAATATAAAATGTTATGTTGATTATATTGCTATCGTAATGATTTGATGTCACTACTTATGCAAAAAGATAAAAATTAATAGTTTTATAAATTAGTTATTTTTAAACGATTAAAAGATTAAAAAAAAAAAATTACGGCGTTATAGCACGATACAACTATTTTGATTGTTTGGAGGCCTATGTAAATGATTTGCAGAAAATTCTTATTGAGGCACCAATATATACTTTAAGAAATTATCCGATTTTATAAGATTTTCCACCTATTTTGGATAAATCATTTCAGCTCAGAATCGTTTTTTGTTTAATGCAAAAGTATAGCTGATACTATACCTAACTGAATGGTTTAAAATGTTATCAGTTAGCACACCCACTCACTGAACTTTTTTATATACATTTTACTATACTATTATTTGTATATAATTGCAGAAATCGGATAGTTCATCAAATTGGGCGGACATTTTTGCTGAACTTGATCCACTGAACGATCCTAGATTGTCTTCAAAACTAGATCCATTAGATCTACTTTGAAATACTTTTATTTGTAAAAAACTAATCTATTGTTTTTCTATTTATGTATTTTATATATTAAACAAAAAAATCTGAATATATATTATATTACTATGTCATATGGGTCAATCAATAATGTGAATGCTTTTAAGTTTATGTGAAACACATTTTTGTACTAGCTTCGATATAAATTATGTTTAAAAATATACCTTTATGGTACAAATTGTTTTAGTAAAAACATATATTTTAATACTTATACATTTATGAATACCTACTCATAAAAGCAGACAAATTGTTGCTGCAGAAACAGAATTTTGATTAAACTGCATGATATTAATTATACTATAACTATAATATTATAATATTGTAAAAGTATCTTTCTTAATTACCTTCGGAAAGAATAAGATACCTGACACGCCGGGAGTAGTACAGTTATTATTGAATTATTCCGCGATCGAGATATTACAGCAGAACGTTTTGGTACAATGGCGTAACTAGAAATTGAGGATCATGCACCTGCCAACAAAATGTATCTCTAGATCTATCACTGCTATAGTAGGTCTCCAAATAGCCAGCACGACTAACAATACGCTTTTTTAAGTATAATCGAATAATGGCTGGAACCAGTGGCGGTCTTTAAAGGGAGGGGGGGGGGGGGTGAAAGGGACGCTCACCCCCTCCTTGGATTTTTTGTAATTTAAATTACACTAAATGCTTGAATTGCTTTAATTACGGTGGGGGGAAGTTCAAAAATTGAAAATAGCCCTTCCCTTGATGTTTTATCAAAACCACCACTGGGTGGAACGATTATTAAACCAGTTTTAGACACTGCAAAATAATACTTTTCTGAAAAGTATCAAACTAACTAAACTAAATTATTGGCAAAAAGCAGTTTTTGAGAGTGGAAGGCAAAATTTTTGACCGGTCCATGATAAAACTGAAAAAAAACTCCTCGACTACAATCACATTACATTACAATTGCGTTTTTATCTCAATACAAATACCCTTCTTACATAATTTTATACTTACTAGATACTATCACAGTTATCTGAGATTACTATCAATTATCATCATGTATGCCTATAGGCATAAATAACCTATTTTAACAATAACAATGACTAAATAATTAATACATAATATGTAGAAGGTCAGAAGGATACCTAAATATATTACCTACTAGGTATATGAAGGCCCAAAACTAGCCGATACACGGCCCAATAGCGGCCTGATTATGACAAGGGGGGAGGGAAATGCCCACTCTGTTACACCAAATCCAATTTGGGTCAAATGACGCCATTGGGAAAAGGTCCTTATTAGCTTTATTGATTTAGGTATAGTATGCCTATTTTCAAGTATGAGCCATTTAGTTCACCTTAGTCGATAACTTAACCTAACCGTTCCACAATTATTACAATATCGCTGAAGTCATCGAGTGTATACTATTAACAGATAAAAAAAGCATGTGGCCGCCATTAATCATTATTCTAAAAAGTAAACTTATTATATTTTAAAGCGATTTAACTTTACAAGAATATCATTTTTTTTAAAGATCATGGTATTTTAAAATTTTGTAATAATGCAGGTGATTTGTTTTTTGGATTCGTAAAATTTCTTGTATTACCCTCTAGAGTCAAGGGCCCGTGGCTCTTGCCACCCTATAGGTACCTATAGGTACCTACGTCACTGTTTTGGTATACTTATTATGATTTATTCAAAAATCACCAAACATCTCATCATCGTAAATTAATTAATATATTTTTGAATAATTTGTACCCTAAGTAGTAAGCTGTTTTATTACTATAATATTGTGTATTTAATTACTTTATATACCTAATTGACGAATTTAATTTAGGTAATATGAATTTTAAATATTAATTTTAATAATTTTTTAGTTTTAAAAAGTCTAAATTAAGTTAAGATCAGAAAATCTCGAAAAAAATAGGCCTCATGATATATTTATATAATAAGACGTATACCCAATACCATTGATATATCAATCAATGCTGATACCTACCTATACAGTTTAATGTATAAACATTTTAAATGTTATAACTTATAAATCACTGAAAGTTGGATACTTATTAAATTATAAATTAAAATTTACTTAGTACAGTATAATTTAAGTGCCGTCATCTACTCATCTGGTTTGTACCAAAAATTCCGGTAGCGGTGTCGTATGCTATCTACGCACTGAATGTTATCTACACATTGCTATTTACGTATAAATTATGTTGTATGCCATCTACTTCGTTTTAAACCGGAGCACTTCATAAATAAATGAAGATTGTCAATGAATGTTCTTAATTAAAGTTGAAAAGTATTTTTCATATCAATAAAGAATGTTTCGAACGTATTTGTTGTGTTTATGGAGCGCCACCATTCTTCTTTAAGCTGCCTTTCTAGTAAATTAGTGGCACCATGCGATCTTATACCATATTTCACCTTTATATGTCGCCAATAGCATTCCATAGTTTGAGTTTCAGCTCCTGTTTGTGGGTCAATTAAATTAATTTTATGATTTACGGTATTGTGGATATAGCCATGATCGTTTAAACAACTGTAAGCTTTCCATTTATCTGAAAAAATGGTCGTCCCTGGCTCAATTTCTCTTTTAATAATTGGAAGCAAAGTGGCGCGGTCTCCCTTTTTTGAACAATAAACAATCGACGTTCTACTATATTATCACGTCTACAACACATTCCAAACACCCACGGCCCCTGTACGCGTACACCGTAATTCCGATTAGTTATTTCAGTATCAGTATCAGAACTGCTAGATCCTGATTCTACAATTTCTTCTCTAGGTTGACGATCTCCTAGACGTAGGCGACCACGATTATACTTCCACTTGCCTCGTAGATTTCGTATTTGTAGATAGCATACGACACTAGTATTCAGTGCGTAGATAGCATACGACATCGCTACCAAAATTCCTTATGAAATATGCTGATAAACAAATAAATCTACACATGTATAGATTTTACTAATTAATGAATTAAAAAAAAAGTGAAATCAACCTATTTTATTGGACAAGTTCATAGGAAGAGCCTACGGTTCAGTTTGAAATCTCAGGTGCGTTGACTTTTTTAAATCTTAACAACTTACAATGTAATATTGTAATATAATATTGCATATTATTATAATATAGTTATTCATTAATAAATATATTCCACATTTAAGATGTGAATTTTTAAGTTCCTAGATAGGTGAATTGTTTAAATTTAATTCTGTATAATAGAATTTAATTATGAATATAGAATTTGAAATATTTTTTAAAAACTATTTATTATCAAAATGTAGGTAGGTACCTATATTTTTTTACAGGTTTCAGCTACTCTGAATTCTATAATTTAAAATAATTCATACAAAAAAAGTATAGGATATATATAATATTATAGTATCGTTGTAAAAGACGTTAAGACTATATTTTAAATAGTATTAGGTATATAATTTATTAATGAATACATTATGTATACTATTAATACTCATAAAACAGTGAGTGTTGTTGAACACTCGGCAGGAACGAAGTTCAGTGCATGTGATGCGAGACGCGGAAACATATAAGGTTAGAAAAATATAAATAAATAGTGATAGAGAGAGAGAGAGACAGAGAGAGAAATGAATGCTTGTATAAATATATCGCGCGCATGGTAATAAAATTATAATAAATTTTTTCTGAGTATTATAAAAAAATGGTATTTTAATCATTATAAAAGTACAAAGCAATTATGAAATTAATCAGTATTCTCAATAACAGTAAATATTGGTTTGTGGTAGCTGAAATATGTCACGTATGTTTGTGATTGAATTTTTTCTATATATCTCGAAAAAACCGCATCGATAGTGGTATTGTATCTTGTTGTAGATTCCGACGGATTATTAATAAATGACAATAGACATATTAATATGTCTATGGAACAAACCTATTGATGGGGGACGAGGTGGCCGAGTGGTCTAACGCGTCGACTGCGGCGCTGGCAGTCGCGGGTTCGCCTCTCGACCACTGGGCGGCATTTTTCTCCGGGCAAGTCACGGTGTCCGGAGTACAAGTGCCGCCATCCCCCAACCCGGGGCATGGCAGAAACCTACGGGTGCCCCAATAAAAATTCTGCCACCACAAACACACACGTGTACCAACCTACCCAAACTAAAAACCTACAGTTCCCTACCAACACCCAATGGCCTATGTTGCCGCGGGTTATCCAATAAAAAAAAAAAAAAAAAACCTATTGATGGTTAAGTCAAATTCTACTGAAAGAAATTTTAATAATGATACGGTTGATACAACTTGTACTCGATTATCGTTTTTCAAAAGTAAATTTTAATTTCATTTGTTTAATAGATTTGTATGTATATAGAGAAGAAGGTAAATGGAAATCACAATGGAATTTATAAATTTAAGGGGCAAAAATTATTTTGAAAATAAAATTCTTATCACTTTCCTTATCAATAAAAACAATATTTATGAAAATCCCAATAAATCCCATCAAAAACTCAAAACCCCGAGTTTCCCCTTGGCGAGGTGGGTTTTATCCTCTCCCGGACCAAAATCCATCAAAAAAGCAAAATCCAAAAGGGGGGGAGGAGGTGCCCCCGTTCCCTAAAGCGGAAAACTGTAGTCTTCATAATAAGAATGGGTTCCCCCTTGGTCCGAGGTCTTTAACTTGAATTCCGGCCGAGTTACACTCAACTCAAAATGTGGGGGGGTGGGGGCTTTGGTTCCCTAATGTTGAAAATTCATCTGGGGCCTAAAAAATTGAGATGCCCATTGGTCCGGGGTCTCTAAGTCGAATACCGGCTAAGTTATGCTTCGTCAAAAATAATTACTCGTTTAATGGGTCCCCCCCCCCATTCCGCCCGACGATCACCTCTACGCGCGTGACGACCGATGTTGGGTAGCCTACGCGAATGGAACCCGGTTGCCAGATGGTACGATCCTAGTGGGGACATACGATAATATGAGAGGAGGGAGGGGATATGTAAGCCGGCAGCCGAGCAGAGCCGAGCCGAGCAATGTGTTACGCTTTTCGGTGTTACGCTTTTTGGTGTTGCGATTTTTGGTGTTGCGATTTTTTTCCAGCGACTCCCATCCACCTAACGCCCCATAAGGAACTTCGTTCCAATAAGTATATTGATTTTATTGCATACGATTGTGTAGTACAGCGGGGTACCCGATGTTATGAAAAAAACATTTTAATTCATATAAATATACCATGTAGCCAGTGGTGTATATATAAATTATTTTCACTATGGACCAATTTATCACTAGTCAAGCATAGCACGACTAACATCGCCTAACCTAACCTAACCTAACATCGCCATAACTTAAGATTTTTTTGGGGAGCTGGGTGGTTATAATTATGACAAATACAATACTAATACAAATTGCGCAATTTAAGTTTTAATTATTATGCAAAATTAATTTTAAAAAAATATTGACAGTTTCATATACATAGGTATATTTTAATGTTATCTTACTATGAATTTAACATCAAAGTCATCAAAGCAATTCCTGACAATCTAACACTTATTTGTTGATTCCTCAAAAACGGTTTTAATCATGGTGAAAAACTGTAAACAGTGTAGATATACATTATACAAGCAATTTATTAATTGAACCTGCAATTTCACTATGGGCTCTGGCCTAGGGGGCTCCCTCCTATATACGCCACTGCATGTAGCTATTGTATTATGTACATTGACGTAAGAAAAAAAAATTGGTCGTTTCCATAACAACATTTTATAAACATTGTCACAAATATAAAATAGTATAAGTGTTCAATGCATGCGATTATAATATTCATAGAACGTCGACTAGCTGTTGTACTATTACCATTTAATTTACGTTGGTATGTTAACTGAACGCTGAACACTTAACTATTGAGAGTTCGTTTGATTATTAACTAATGACAGAGAAAACAAAGTACAACGAAGACACGGTGGCAGTGTGGAAACTACCGTTAGCAGACGGTATTCATGAAATAGAATTTGAACACGGGACAGCAACTGGTAAAAGAGTTATTAGATTGGATGGAAAAGTAAGACAATTTTAATTAATTATATTTCGCTACGGCCATAATTTTAGCGACAATACCTCACCGACAATTTGATTAGAGATAACGATACACTTTGCACCTCGCTTTATGTACCTATTATACATTATAGTACAATAATTGATCAAATAATGTACCTATATTATATTGTTACGTGTGTAGTTATGGGGTTGATGTGACTTTTACAGTGGCACCTAAATTATAATAATATAGACTGTAGTAAGTACTATTTTCTATTAGATCTTAGGTGTCCTGTAAGTAACCAATTCCTAAAAAATCTTAAAAAGATGATAAAGTAGGTACAACTCTGCTGTACATCAGGCGTCGTGTCTCACACAGCATTTGGGAAATGATATTATTGTTTGAATATTTTGAAGTGCTTGAATATTGAATATTTTACTAATAATATTGAATAAATATTATGTTCTTCACATGATAACAAAAAGTGTACTATAATATGATTGCATAAATATGTTGACTAAATATTTTTATAAAGTTTCCATGAAAATGTTTTTTGAAAATAAGTGATTGAAATGTTTTGTAAATGTTTTTTATAAAGTATTTTCAAAGATGAACTTCTTCGCCAAAGAATATAAGTTATAACTAAAATATTTCTTAATTATTTAAGCAACTTTTTAAATATTTTGACAACTATATTAATTCCTGAAAATATTTTTACCATAATTAGGAAATATTTTTATTCTGCGTGGGGTGGGTAACCGTAATAGTGCAGTGAATCTGTTAAAATTGAATTCAATGATAGAAAACCACTGTATAAGGTTTTTAAACGATCTGAGCAAAGACAGTCTTCACTCTTCAGCCTAAACCTAGGTATATTAAACAAATAAAAAGTGAATTTTATGATATTGATCCTATATTATAGAAATTTATTTTACCATTAGTAATATAAGTAAGTATAATGGGTAGATTGTAGAATCAATTATTGCCGATAAAATTGCATTTAAAAATGTCATTGCGTGATATAAAATATGTAACAATATACTTTAAAAGTTTTAAGTATCCTCAAATATTTTTAAACTACAAGTTACAACAAAATAACTAAAACTGTTTTTCTTCGTTTAAATTATTATTTTGTTAAAATTTGAACTTAAAATATTTATGAAAAAAAAAATAAAAACGGTGTATTACTTAGATTTTTTGTATACAGTATGAACTACTTTTCAGAAACCTTGTTTTAAAAATTCAATCCTTAGCTATAAAAATTGGACATTTTATAAATTGTTATCTTCAAATAATTTTATTTTGTGATTTTGATGAATTTTGATAAAATGTTAACTTTAAATACTCCTAAAAAAAATAATGCTTACGTATCTTTGATATTTTTTAACTACTAATATAAAAAGTAATGATTGACCTCGTATTAAATTTTCAAAAGAACAGAAAATATTTTATAGCTAATTTATAGTTCAAAAAGTGTTAAAATATATTGAACATTTTATCATGTATAGGAAATGCTAATATAAACATTTGAAGTATCATTTGAAGTACCATTATCTATACAGTGATTCGTTTTTGAATTACTACAAAATAAGAAAATCATTCGACGAAAAATTGTTAGTTTATGGGTGAATTTTCAATGTCATAACAATTTTAAATTCAAATGCTCATAAAAAATCAATGTTACTTTCGGTTAAACTTTTTATTTAAGGTAGGAAAACGTATGAGTAATCTTCTATTACATTTTTAATGTTAGCTACGAAAATAATTTGCAAATTGTCAAGATTTTGATAAAGTTTGTACAAATTTCGGATGAGCATAAAAAAATATTGTGGATTTATGCTGAACTTCTATTTTTAAATTAGGTACACTATTAACAACCTATTATGAACTAGCAAATAATAAAAATTGAATATATCTCATGGTTCTATAATCTATATTTATATTATGACCTCTGAAAGAGCCAAAATATTTTGTTCATGAAATTGAAGTGAAATGCTGAAGTATGCAATCGAAGTAATTTTACTGCTTTAAAAGGTAATGGCAGATAGAAAAAAAACCACACACACATCATTGGTAAATTAATAGGTACAGCCATCGCTTCGCTTAGAATTTAAAACAATAAATTAAGTAAATACATTTTTTATGCACACTTAATCGAATAAATTAAAATTATTGTAGTTTGCAAATAACTTTAAAGTGTCAACTGTTGGCTTATACCTTTTACTTGCGATATTTGTGGATCTAGTCCGTGGCCCGTGTCTTCATTTTGTTAAATCTTATCCATAAAAATATGTAAATTAGCTTGAATACATTTAAAAATACTTAAAAATAATATGATTTTATGATTAAAAATTCATTCACGTTCATTTTGTTGAGCATTATTGTTATTACTTATTATTATCTATAAAATGTATTTCAAATTATAATTGTTCTATATATTGATCCATGATGGCTATATATTACAGTCCCTTTATAAAATAATCATGGCATGCTACTCGATATTTGTCCTCTATACAAGGAAAATCTATACCATAAATATGTTTTTGTTATTCAGTAACCATGACACCAAAAACCGTACGAAAAATCGGTGTGAAATCTTTTATCGTGATCCAGCCCCAAAACATATATGTATACGTTAAAAAAACAATAATTACTGGCAGTTACCAACTTCCATTTTGACTGATACACAAATAAAACAACAACAAAAAAACACCTACATATATTGATTGTTCCATGTCACACAACCCTCCCATTATCTAGTAGCATGCTACATTTTGTTAGGAATTTAATTTAATTTTTTTTTATGTGTGTGTTCACGATAAGTAGTAGAAATAATGCTTTGATTTTCAACTTCAGTATCTTATCCGACATTGGATTTTCACTCGATTTCTTATGGAACGATTTTCTTATTTTGTTGTAATTCAAAAATGAATAATTGTAGATACTTGAAATTTACACTTTGTGTTTATTTTATTATTTTATACACTAATTGACTATTTTATTTTCTGTAACCAATGGCAACCCTATCTAATATAGTAATATATATAAATAAACAAACAAATATTCGATTTTCGTGAATTGAAACAAAATGCAGTGTGAGCCAACATTTAGGGATTTCATTTCGAGATGAAAAGTAGCTTAATATGCTACACGCTTACACTCGCATTTGGATAATGACTACTAAGTATAAATATCAACAAAATAGGTTCCTCAGTTGAGGACCCATAAGTCACTTACAGACAGACGGCAGACATTCAGCTTAGATACCAATACAGACATTATTAAAGCTATAATATCAAAACTAGGTATATCGTGCCGCTGACTTTTTTTTTAGATCTTTTAATGACTGATGTTTTTGTAATAAGTGCAAGCCGATAAATCAGCACAGTGGCTATTTTTTTCCCGATTTGATTTACTAATATTGTGTTTTGTAATGACAACTTATTTTTAACAAAATAAAATATATCCTATATTAAACGCAGCTTCCTATTTGTGAAAGAATTTTTGAAATCTGTTCAATAGATCCACATACCCCCGACATACAAACAAACAATTTTATCTCTATAATATATGTATAAATACATTTGTTTTGGTTGTCATTGGACCGTTTTTATTGATTTGGCTTATTTTTTATTATGAATGTTCGTAATTGTTCAAATAAGGTTTTTATGGAAAGAAAAATTTTAAAAGTTGGCTGGAAGAAGTCATCTCACACAAAAGTTTTGAGATTTATGATGAAAATCAAAAAATTGCTTGTGTACAAATGGTTGCCCATGGTTACATTTTACAGATTATATTATTATAATAGTAATAATTGTAGAAATTAGTATTCTTTTATGCACTATTATTATGGCCTCAAATAAAGAAATTATCTCAAAAATTCAAAAAATTATAATAGTTTAATGTACCTATGTTTGTAGCTTATATACTCAAAAACTATTTGACTGATTCTGTCAAAGATTCAAATAATCTTAGATATATCAGGAAAGTATAGAGAGTAGATTAACTAATTTAAATTTGTACCAAGTGCTATATCCAATCTACTACAGGCGAATTTATTGTCCATCTCAGTCAAATTAGTACATCGACGCTGATTTGTCAGTGAACTGAGGTACCTACACCAAAGTACCTAAACCAAGACCCACCTATATTATAGCTCTTTATTTAATATTTGTTCACTGGAAAGTCAGGTTATGCAGATAAAAATGGATGTTTGTTATTGGTTTATCTGAATTTAATATAAACTTAAAAACTACCGGACCATTTTGGACTTGAAGGATGTTTATAGCTTATTTTTCAACCCCATAAGTAGCTAAAGGGTAGCTCACAAAAAATTAATATTTTTTTGGTTTATTTAAATGTTAGCCATTGGTTACATATTATATTACTATTATAATTTGTAGAAATATATTTGCAAAATAAAAACACGAATCTTTACCATGGGCAACGCGGGGTGTGACTGCTAGTAAATTATATATAATATTATAAAAAACAAATAATTATATCAATAATAATAAACAACAGTTAAATATGTCTAATATATTATATACGATTTACATTTTTGATAATAACAGATAGTGAGACGAAAAGACTGGATGTTTCGATTAGTCGGAGATGAAGTTTTTGATATAGACAAGATACAATGCACTATCAAAGTAGAACCAGATGGATTGTTTATGTACACATACGATTTGTTGGTTGACGGAAAGAGCTTGGAAGATTTTTGCGAATACATTTCAAAAAATCGATCTACCTGGTTAATTACTACAGACAATGGAGTTGAAAATCGAATTATTCTCGGTAATATGAACGGGGAACTATTTCCCCCCCCCCCCAAAAAAAAAACAAATACATGAAAATATGATATACATTTACTGTTGTAAAATCAATAACACTCACAAACCTACAAAAGTACAAAATATATTGTATTAATTTAAAAAGTAAACTCATATCAAAATAAATAAATTATTTGTTTGCATAAAATATTTAGTTACAATATTTTCTTTATTTTGTGTTAAGCAAGTTAACATTTTAACTAACTGTTTAACTTTAAATACAATCCATCATCTACATTATACAACAAATAATATTGATTTTTACTCATGTATTATGTGCTGGTAATTTTCAGATAAAGCCACTATGGATATTTTTGTAAACGGAACTCAAGTTACAGATGCAATGGTAAAATCTATATTATTAATTTATATTATAGCTTATAAGTCAATAATAAACTTTTATTAAACATTTAAAACTATTTTTTTTAGTCTGAATTCATTGAAAACGGGACAGAAACACATTTTGCTGTTGGTGAAATGTTAGTAACAATACGCACTGAACATAGTTGTGATAAAAAAATTGGTGTCGTGCACAGTCTATTTGTGAATGGTGTTATAGTTTCAGAACTATAATATTTTATGAATTATTTTTTTTTTAACTAATTAAATGTTATTGTTTAAGTGTTATACAAAATAAGTTACCAAGCAAGAAAAATATAAAATTTGTTATTTTAATTTAGTTACACAGATTATTATAATATTTTATGAATTTGTTTTTGAATGTGCAAATAAAAAAATAATAAAAAATTTAGGTTATTGATAATAGTAAATAATTAATCAGTATTCATAACAACACAAACTCCTCGTAAAATCCAAAAACTCTTATGCACCAATGTATTTAAATTGGCTTGGAATACACAATTATCGTCCATCAAATGTCCTCGTTTCGAAGTCACGTATACTGGTATGGTAATTGAACTCTTAGGTAATTTTAGCAGACGAGTTTCAATAGGAATAATAGCTAAAATTGGCAAATGTTCCAGCGTATTATGAAACTTACATTCTGTCAAGCATTGTTTATTCATATCCCAACGTGCACCCTCTAAATATAATCCAGTAATGTAACATCCCTTAAAATAAAAAAACACATATTATATTATAAAATAGTTACAAATACTTAACTATAGGTACTATCGGACTAAATTTACCTTTACAATACTATCTACTATAGACTATAGGTACTTATGAGTCATATTACATAATAAGCAGGTTGAAATTGACTGAGGTGTATTTTGACGTTTTCAAATTAATCAAATAAACTTTAAATTTAACTTGATTAGGTGTAGGGTTTTCAAAAATTATATAAAATATAAAATAAAAACATAAAATGTGTATTATTAGATCAATAGAGTTTTACTCAACCCAGATTGTTATATACTTTACTAAACGTTATAAAAATATCAAATCCGATTGCATGATCTATATTTTTGGGAACAAAATTTTATATATTTTTTTATAATATTATTAATATTAAAATAATCCCTATTAAATATTAATATGACACTATTTCCACCATACTTAATAGACTCCAACATTGTCAAATTTATAATAAATGCATAAAAAAAATACACATCTGACTGCACAGTTTGCAATGTTCAAATAGCATGCTGTGTATCAGGTATCTTAATATGAACCAATTAACCCGCTATTTCTCACCCTCATATCTCTGCTACCTGGCTTCCTTGGATTTTAAAAATTGAAATATAGTATTTCAATATTTCATAATATTATCTATGTCAAACTGTTACATATTGAATTGTATAGGTGCCTATACTTGTTGTTCTGTATGTAAGTATAATTTAACATTTTATACTTACGGCGTCTGGTTCTCGTTGAACTTCACTTTCACAAGTCCATTGAGTTATAGATGTATAAAACATGCTGTGTTCAATTGACCAACCATATTTTCTACATGCCAATTGTATTAAAGATGTTAGATACGATTTCGGCGAATGTAACCCTGATAGCCACATGACTAAAGGTTCTCTGATTTGGCTCTGGTAAACCGTAAATATAAAATGTGTATTAATTTAAAAAAATAGTACTTTAGTATTTTTTATTTATTGTGATTTACGCATTAAAACTATCATGAAACGTTTATATTTTACCCAATTCGAATATTGAAGTGTACGTTTTGTAAGGTGTTCAATATAACAGGGCAATGATTTAACTGTCTGTGGTGATAATTTACTCCAGCAACCTGGGACACGACCGGCGTATAAACACATTGAAACGTCTTCTAACATCGTATTCATTTCCACTTTTCCCAGAAATACCTATGTAAAAAATAAATTGTAATATAGGTATAATATCGCTCTATAACGCATAAATAAATAAATACAAATACATATTAGATTTTACCTTTGAGAGTTGTGATAGGGTGTTTCTTATTACGGATAATAACGCATTAATTTTCTCGAGTTCGTGAAGTAAAACTATAATATTAGGAGAAAAACATTTATCTCCGTAAAACATTTTCACCTTATTTAAATTATAAAGTTCTGGCAAAGATTTTAAAATGTCTTCAATAGTATTTTGGACAACTTGATCCCAATCAGTATTTTTATCATCAATTGTATCAACACTTGGATACAACTTTATCATATCTGCCCACAACATTTCAACCAAACTATTGTGGTATCCAAACAAAACATTTGGATTTAATCCGCAAACTTTTGGGTTAATAGACATTGGCAATTCATTAACTGCTTCTGTTATGATAAACAAATTAATTATATTTTATTAAATAAAATTTAAAAGCTTAAATTTACAAGTTTATAATAATTTTAATAGTTATTCATGTTATTATAATATGTATTTTGATTTTTCCAAATGATATACAAAGTCATCATAAGATATACAATTTATTATGGGTTGGTGTAGTATATGGACCAACTAAATATAGAAAAAAAAATAAAGTTCAAAATGTTGTTATCTGTTTTATCAATAAGGGGCCTTCAAAAATAGTCTCGTGGCAAGAACGCTAAGCATAGTTTGCAAACAACACCCCTCTCATTCCCAAGAAGAAAACTATTTAAAACCAAATACATAATGAAAATATAAAAATAAATAAAATCCAGTTTCTGGTCAAATCATAAAAAAATTATTTATTATTTTGGTGGTTTCATCTCCTTCGTAAATTTATAAAGATTAACTTAACTTAATAATTAGTCTTACTACAAAAATAACACACATAATAATATTTATCAAAGCCTTTTTGGCAAATAACTTCACTCGTGCATTGATTACCAAAATGACGTATATTATAGTGTATACTAACACATCAAAAATCGAACAAAAAATCGGGACTAGTTGTGATATTATATTAAACAATAGGAATATTAAATTTCAAACAAATAGTGTTTGTACAGCATTTTTACAGTAGAAAGCTTAGTAGTACTTAAGACTAGCCAAAGCATTCAGCTAGACGGAAATAAAAAACAATTAGTTACCTATTCCCAATTCCCTGAGCACTTATATGTGATTAGAGTCAGCATTCACAATTAAAAAATAACGCAGCCAATTTCCTATCATTCAAATGGGTGGTAATCAACGAACTAAACTATTGCAAAAATACTCTTGTGGATTCTCGGATATGTCAGTTTATGACAAAGTTAAAATGCTGATTAAAATTACAAAGAATAGCTACAGCTAAACTGATTTAGAATTATGAACCTTTATATAGGTTTACAAAATAGCAATAAATCTACTCAAATTATTGAATGGGAAACCAATGGTTTAGTTTACAAAATAATGAATTTGTATAGATTAAACATTCCCTCCTATCGTGGTAAAAAGTGAAAACCAGTGATGACAATATCAAGTAAATAGATAATATACTAGATAATATATAATATATATAATATACAAGATAATATACTACTCGCATAATTATAAGTAAATCTCACCGACAATGCCGGTTGGGATGGTTATATATTAAAATATACAATATACTATCATTTACACTTAAAAATACATTGCTTCCACAGCGTGTTACACCGAAATGAATTGAACGACCACAATTTTTTCTGGGCAACGCCGGGTAATCCAGTTAGTATATAATTTTACTAGCTGTATTATAGACTCGGAACGGGAAAAAATTAAAAAATCTAAACAATATTTAAATTTGAAACAACTTGAATACAGTTAAGTGAGTAGTTTTAAAGACACTAAAAAAAAAAAAATCTTTTGTCTAAAAAACTAGACAGATGAAATAGATGAGTATTCTTATTTCACCATTTGAGGATTGAGACCATTTTGTTAATGTGTTAACTGTTAAGTTTGTCAAAATCGAGTTAAACATTTCGAGGATTACTCCAGTATAGAAATAAGACTTTGTTGTATAGGGATGAATTTTATGAATAATACTTACCTACCAAATTGTGTTCATTATTTTCAAATAATTTTCTTTCCACCTCTATGTATCTTACCGCCTTGAAAGAATCTTTGCAATTGTAAAAGCTGAACGGCTGATAAGAACTATATATAAAATCACCAAAATATTCATCCACGTATGTCAAGAGAATTCTGCGATCATAGCTATCGATCACTTTTCCTCCATATATGATTTCACCGATTAGATACTTTAATGTGGTCCAAGGTATTTCATCTGGTTTACTTTTTCTTAAAAATATAGCAATTATTTGTTGACACATATCATATTCAGAATATTCAAAATTATATGGTAAACTCCATCCAAATTTATTATACTTTTTACGTTCCTAAAATATAATTAAGTTTTAAATTTATGTTATGTTATTTATTATAGTGAAGAATATTTAGTCTAAGAGCTTACTAATAATATTCCATGAAAAAATAGTAAAGCATATAGCAAAGATTTGAAAGCAGGATGAGGATTTTTATCATCTTGGTCTTCAAAATTGTATTTATCTAAAGCATTCTGCATACACATCTTCATATGATTTGAAGGCTCAATGATAACTATTTCAAACATAATAGAGTAAAACGTATTAATTACAGTGTTTTGGAAGTTTAGTACGCGTAAAGAAAACGTTACCTTTTAATGACCTGAGCAAAAGAGATATTGGAAATGAATCACTCAGTGATGAATCTCCATTAAATATAAGCCATAATCTAAAGTTTTGATGCCAACTTTCATTTGCTTGCTCTAATATATATTCAATACCGTACAGAAAACGAACAGAAAAATTACAGTTTTGAACAATCAACCAATTTCCGCGGTACATTGCCGATTTTAAAGCTAAATAAATAACCTATTAAACACGTTATTTATGAAATTTATAGTATTTATAATTTTTATATAAAAAAAATTATGACAAATTCATATTTATTGATATTTAAAATTTACATCGTCACTGAAAGTTCCTAATGAAAGAACTTTGAACGTAGGACCAGTTATATCATTTTTTTCTGCAAGATTAGTCAGGTCTTTAGCCGGATCTGATCCGTTATTCAATATCAAAACACATGGAGTTAAATTTGAAAATTGTTTATGTATAACTTCAAGACTAAAAATGATAATACAAATTAATACATAACTTACAAATCATGAAAAAGGATTTTAAAATATTTGAAATATCATTGAATTCAAATTTAATACATTCATTACATTGACCTATACAACACCTAATGTACAACAGAGTAGTAGGATTATAATAATAATTTTTTTCTATTATTGATGGCCCTCACGAATGCAACATTTTACTATTGTGATTTGTAGGTTTATACCTTGTGGCCCTCCGAAGAAAAATGGCTGGGCCTTGGGCAATCCCACAATGGGCAGTACTGGTATATATTATGATAAACATAAATTATATAAATCATTTAATCATGTAGCTATTGAAAATATTTCACAATGTAATTCATGATAATTCTCACTTAGTTTTATGATTATTTGTAATATTCGACTTTTATCTGTATTCTATACATCATACACTATGTAGTATGTATAGTATACAGTATACACATCACACGACACACATATATGGTAAAAAATACTTACTTTTTTTAAATTAAAAAAAATGTTTTCTTTGATAAACTTAAAAACTTAGTAATAGAAAATATTACTAATATATTATTATTATAGTTATATACTTTATGTATATATTTACTTTGTATTTTTTTTATTGATACAACTCTCGTTATTTACTTCAATTATTTTATAAACGTAATTTTCAACAGATTGATACACTCGATCAGTTCTAAAACATCTTATTAGCATTAACACATCAAAATATTTGTTCATTTTGATAGGTATAGTATTTTCAGACTCTGGATATTCTGAATAAAACCACTAAAAAAAAAAAAATATAAGTTCAATTATTTTATGAATATTAAATTAATAACCAGGTGTAATAATTTTATATTTTACAAGTAGGTACCTAATATTTATTATATTTAAGACATAGTTACAGAAATATTACGTATATTATAGTTGTGTATAAAAAATATACAAATCATATAATTTAAATCTGTTTTATGTTAATATTTTGTTTCGTTATTACTGAATAAGAGTGTGTCATATGCATATATAATATATATACTTATATACCTAATAATAAAGAAAAGAAAAGTATTTTATAACATTTATTCGTAGATGTTCATAATATTTATCTTAAAATTTCAGATTCATATGAAATGTTGAAATCTAATGCCTGCTACAATATTTATACATTTTCCCATAATCACATTAATTTTTATGATAAACTACCCTTCTCCCACATATAATCAAGCCCTTCAAACTATATTTCCTATATTATCAAACGAATTGCCTATCAGTATTCTCTAATCACTATTCAGTAATTACTACAGACGCAATTTCCTACCTTCAAAATCTCTCATCCAATGTTTTAAAATATCAACCTTCTACTTTCAAAATCAAGATCAGACCCCCCTATTTACCATCATGATATAGACAGGCTTCAATATAAGATTTTTACATTGTATGGGTGTAGCTGTATTAGCCATACAGGAATAATTGTTACTTAATTCGCTATAATATTACTATAAAGTTTCGTTAAGTGACATACTGAAACCCCCCTCTGCACCCCCCACAAAAAACCAATAAGCAACAATATCCCCATGACCCCATATACATTTTAACTGCCCAAATTGAAAACACAACGCGCCTACGTGATGTCCCATTTTAACTCTTAAAACACACCTATTAATCTTCAACTATTTTTTTCCTCTTGAGATTATATTTTTGTAATTCATTATCACTTCACCTAATTGTCATGACTAACATTGTAATACTACTGCAAAATACAAAATAAAAAAAAATGTCCATAATTAAGAAATATAGTTTACCTCTTTCCAATTGTTAATGTTATTAGTAATATGTTCAATCAAATTCGAGAAATTTTCAAAGTTCGTGCTTAAATTAACAACATTTTGCCAACACTCATTTGATAACCATGTTGTTGGATTTTTTATGGTGACATTTTCAGAGCCTATAATATTACCCTTGATGAAGAATACTAATTCGGAATTCAACAAACCTCCTGCATCTTTATCTAAAGTACACGCTATTTGAAATAAAAATAATAAGTTGTGTTTTTCATAAATACTGATACTACTAAATTCAAAAACATCATTTGTTAGTTGGTTGATAATATTTGATATCCTGTTCAATACATTTTGATCTTTTTTTGCTAAATCAATTGAATTTAAAAACAATTTCATAAACGACTCAATTGAAAATTGATATAATTGGTCAATATCTTTTAATCCATAAAGAGACATATAAAACAATGCGCCTTTTTGTGATACAGATTTGTAAATATCTCTAGACTGATCAATTAAAGTCATTGATTCAATAGACAATTTTAATTCTGTAGAACTTGAATTAATTTTTAATTTTATATCTTCGAGTTTATTTGAAAGATGTGGATTGTCAATCAAAGGTTCAGAGCAATTTATGATTTCTTTTATAAACAAATTTTTAAATGCTTCAAGTTCTTCCTTATGTTGATACATATTTTTTACTATTAATTCTTTCTTATTTTCTACTTCTTTTATTTCTTGTTTGATCACCAAATTAAGTAGCTGACCTTCCAATCCCTAAACATAAAATAACCAAATAGATAAATAAATTAACAAAATAGGTACATACCTCATTATAAAATATATACAAGGAAATATATTTAAATAGTTTAATTTAAGATGGACAAGGCATAATATTATATTATAAGTTATAACACAATTAAAACAACCAACAGTATATCCATCACATGGATGTGGACCTATGTGGGTTAGGTAATACCAAGGATTATATGTAGTATAATATTTAATATACTACGTATAATCAATGGTAATGCCAAAAATGTTCTGTATCTATTATTTATTTGTATTATATTATGTTGGCTTACTTCTTGTGTGATTGAACAATTTATGACAGTCATATTGGAGTAGATGGATGTAGTAATCTTTGGATTAGTTTGTTTAGTCATCAAGTATAATCTAAAGTTTTGATTATACATACATTTTTTATCATCTATTTCAATATATTCAGAATCAAATGACTCAGCTAAATAAATAAACATAAACATTAAACACTTATTATATTTTAAGAAAAATAATATTTTACAGTTATAATGTATAATCTCTTAAGAATTATACGAATTATTCAGAACCTTGATTCTTAAAAACCTCTGCTTACTCAATTTACTTACATAGTATATTTTTATTTAATAAATCCTTTATATCTAAATCCATGTTTTCAAAATCAATAAAAATTACTGATTGCCCATATTGTAAAGCATTTTTAAAATGCACAATATAATCATTATCAGCAAAGGAAAGAATTTTTAATGAGTTATTTTTTTCATGGTTTTTAATCCAATTAAATCCTTGATTATGTGGGTCAATACAAAGAGGAAATCGATTAGATTGAGTCATCAATATTCCATTTTGAATTGTGTATTTATCACAAGGCAAACCATTTGAAATCAAACTATAGTGAACAACAACAAAAGACCAATTTTAAAATTTAAAATTATATTAAAACATAAAATATAATATCAAAAATTATTGAAATGAAAGTACATAATATACTTTGTAATAAGTGAATTAAAAGTATTTAAATATTATAGAATTTTATTTTGTTAAAAAAATATTATTACAAATAAAGTAATGATAGATTAGTGATAAATATTTATTGATTTATTTACTCATATATCACTTTTTCATCAATTAGTTCTTTTTCTAGTTCAATGTTCAAGTCAATTGGTAATTCCAGATCAACAATATGATTGTACCAATCGTTAAAAATGATTTGTTCACGATATTCTAATGAAAATGGGCCAGCATAGACTAAAAATGAAGCATTCAGTAAACAATTACCGATTATTTGATTTTTTATTATGGTTTGATTTTCTAAATCTATAATCCATCTAAAAATATTAATATGAGATTATAATAGATTTTAGTTAGGTATATTAATATTTGGAACAATTGCAGTTTAGCTACCAAGTGGTTTTTTTTTTTTGTACCCTTTTTACATGTACCTATTTCAACGAGTTAAAAACGATTGTACAAAACAAATTTATGCAAATTGTTATTTTGGAAGTTATATCATTCCAAAGATTGCGATTTCACGTTTATACGCATGCGTTCAACAGTATCATTTACCTCGCTTATAACTAATTTTTCTTTTTTTATTTCAGAAACTATGTACACAACGAGTTAAGACCGTTGGTACAAAAATAAATTCGTGGACATCATTAGTTTTAAAAATATTTTATTTTGAAGCTTATGGATAATATTGGTGTTTTATGCAATCGTACAGCGCTCTATTTTACTGCGCTTTTGGAACTTTTCTGATTTATGGTACATCCTTTTTTTGCAATTTTTTTTTTTGTTTTAATGTTCCTATGTAGTTTAGCATACTGAAAACGATGGTGAAGTCAGAATTTGGAGGTCAGACTTGTAGTTGTAAAGTAATAGTTAATTGAAATGTATGTGAACTTCGAAAGGCTATAACTAAAAAACTAATGATTTCCACCAATTTAATTTTGCACCATCGTTGTAACTCGTAAAATGCATAGACATTATCTGAAAAAAGAATTAAAAAATTCACCTGGGCGATAGATGATTTATGTTGTGTGCGAAGGCATAAAATCGCAAAACTTTCGAAATAATGATTTGCACAATTTCTTTTTCGTTTTTAAATAGTTGAAATACATTTTTCAAAAAAAAAAAAATTCTTATGGTTAGCAAGCTGCCAACATAACTAATATTTTAATTAATAAAACAAATTGAAGTTATCATTTTTTTTACCTTTCGTGTACAGATTTTAGTCCTTCTATAACCTTGTCAGCATATTCAAATTTAATTTTCAATGAACAATTATCTTTTTTTAGTTCAATATTTTCCTTAGATAAATCATCTAAGGATTTTTCTAAATCTGATAAAGTGCATCGAGTATTTTCTAAACTATCTTCATGTTCTTTTAGTTTTAAAGTAGCGTTAAGATAATCTTTATCAAATTTGTGTATCTTATTTTTTAATGGTATAATGTCTTGATAAATATGACAGTATTTTAAAACAGACTCAATAAAATTTAATATACTACATTCCACTTTGCTAATAGCTTGAATATCAACCGTTTTTTTCAAAAATTTTAACTTCGTTCGTACTTGAGTTTGATGTCTTTGATTAATTTTATTTGCGTCCAATTCTTGTAAATTATTTAGAAAATTTGGTTCTTCAATCATATCACTTAAACTTTTCCATGTGTTCATATCTTTAATACCTCTTAAAATAGCTACACATTCAAGTAAAGTCATAACTGATTCAGATGGCGTGTCCAAAGATCTAAAGTAAAATAAACATTAATATTATTATTTTCATTAAAACTTTTTCATACTATGTTTAAATATTTGTTGTGACTATTATTAAAATAACATTTATAGTTTCCAATAAAAAATGTATAATATCAATAATTATTATTACTTACTTTAATTCTGTTAAATCGTCTGAATTAATTTCATTCAATAAATTTCTAGTAGTACTTAAAACAGGTAATGTTTTATCTATTAACTCTTTCATTTGTTTTTTTGTATTTATAATTTGTTCACTTTTTAAATTTAACTTTTCAGTACTATTATTCACAACAGATTTTATTTCTTCTACAAGTATACGAGTGTCATTAATTTGTTTCATAATGTGTTGACACATTTCGTTCTTCTGTATTATAGATAAATCTTGCTGAAGTAATGTATCATTTATCCTATCAAGCTCTAAAGTACTTTCTTCAATTTTTTCTAAGCCACTCTGAATCTGTTGAGACTTTAAAAAGATACAATTTAATAAAATAAAATATTAAATCTAGTATAATATATCAGTATAAAGTATAAATAACTTGTGTTTGGCAGATGAGCCTTATACATTCTTTTCAGAAAGGTATAGGTATGAGTTATAACATCATAGGATTAAAATAAAGGTGGACGAATACAATAGAGTATCGACTATATAGAGTCAAAGAAACATGGTTATGATGATGGAAGATAACGTGGTAGGTGTAAGGTAGGTTTTTCTGAAGCAATTGACTCAAGATCAAAATATGTGGGTGGGTACCAGTGAATGTATTTTTTGTACGATAAAAAGTTATTAATAATAATATTTATACTATTAAGTATAAAAAATGATTGACTAAAAGTTGTGGCACACACACTATCACCGTCATTATTATTTGTTTCTTGATCCATCGAGGCGCAGAATTAATTGGTGTCTGGGTGGTATACCACTATATGCTCGCGGCCCTAACTTAGAAGTTAGGTAGGTAAATTGTTTATAGCTGGAACCCAACTTAATCACCATTCTTTTTATACCCGGGACTCAATTACCGCTTTCAAAATCTACACAAATTATTGAGGACCCAATTTACCAAATCCGCTTCTTTTTTGGAACAGAGTAAGTATAGGCAATTGGCAATTGATTATGATGACAACAATGAATACGGTTTAAAATAGTGAAACGCAGTTGTTGAGTGGGCACTTGGGCTATAGTATTCTTAAATTTGAACATAATAATACATTTTAGCGTCAGAAAAATAATTGTGAGTGAAGCACTGAAAGCTTATTGTTATATAAAAAAAATCTAATACGAGTATATGACTATTTCTGTTATTTTTAATTGTTTTCGTAAACTTCTTGAAAAAACCAAAAATTATTTAGTTTTATAGACTATATAGTACATATAAACTGTGTTCGGTTTCTTATACATAGAAGTACTATTATATAACTATATAACTATATAAGTCTATGAAACTATTTGAACTTTTTTCTAAAGAAAAATAAACCATTACTTAATACATTATTAACAATTAAAAACCTATATTACTTATCAGCCTCTATCATTTTACTCGTAATGTAAGATATATTGATTATTGTATTAATGTATTACACCGAGTCGACGAGATACAAAACAACTGATACATTTTAATTTTAATACATAAAGTATATACCTAATATTATGTAGATAAAAATCGAATATATTATATTATATAGATGTACCTACCTAAGTTGTAATACAAAAATTGAGTTTCATTTTAAATAATCTAATCTATCGCTAAGGTTGCATACAAAATATTGAATAAATATGAATAGTAAAAATAAAATCACAATTAAGTACAATATTAGTTAAGAGGATGTCAGCCCAACATTTGTTTTCTCTCTCTGACCCACGCACAACTTAGCAAATGTATGTTTAGCAGAACCAACCCTAAGTTGTTACTTTTAATAGTAGAATAAATTCACCTATTATCAAACATTATGCTATAATAACATTAACTATATATGTAAGTCGGATTTTTTACAATGTTTTAATTTTTATACAATTTATAAGAATTTTTAAATTGTAATATTTTACATGCTCATAACTCATAGATAAGTCATAACTTAAATAAAAAATAATATATCATAAAATAACCAACGTAGAAACATAGGTAATGTTCTTAGCTTAAATGTTTATAATAAGTAAGTTCACTCTAATATTAAAAGTAACAAACGAGATTGGTTCTATTAAACGTAAATTTGCTATGTTGGACGTGGATCAGAGAGAGAAAACAAATAGTTCAATGACATCATCTTAAGAATGATTTTCTAGTTTAAATATGACATGTTGACATCATGCGATTCAATTAAAATTTCTAATTTAACTTAGATTCAACTCAATACTTTATATTGCTTATAATGTAAATTGTAAATTGTTTTTTTTACACCTATTAAAATATGATTTAAATGTATATGCTTAAGCTTAATAATTAATACAATACCTTAATTAGTGACACGTTCAATTTATTTTTAACTAAATTCTTGTACGTTTGAGCACAGTCTACTAAGTGTTTCAATGTAAAACAAATCTTTCGAGTTGTATGCTTAAAAAATGTTTTTGCATAGTTTTCTGCAGATTTATGCATGTAAACACTTTGCTTTATTACATTATTAACGTAAACATCTGGAATAACTTGATCCTAAAAGTAATAAATAAATTAAAATATGCAGAATATACTAAAACATTTTAGTATGGCAAAAGAATGTCGGTTCTGAAACTAATTTTATTTAATGTTGTCTTGCTAGGGAATAGATAGCGGTCCTTCAAACATTTTCTCGATTACTCTGCGATCTTACAGCGACATAGAGTGAACATATTAAGTGTACAAAAATCCTTACAGACGTATAGTTAAAAACCGACATCTCTTTTGTACTAATATAGAAAAAATAGTTTAAAATATCCTACGTTTATCAAAACTTTTTCCACCACTGCATTTAACGCCTCCACAGGCCATTTGTTAATCCAGTCAACATACGTTTTATTCACGAAACCGGGGTAATTCCGAAATATAAGTCTAAGGTTGTTCCCAGGTGACATTAATAGCACAATATGAAGATTGTTTAGACAATTTTTTAAGAACATGTCCCTAAATTAAATTAATGATAAAACAAAGAATAATAACGTATATATTATACATTACGTTATTTAATATAGGAGTAATAAAAAAACTTACGTTGTAATTTCACTCGATGTGTTTATATTTATATCTTTAAAACGCTGGACCATTTCTAAATTCTCTTTTTGATCTAAGTATAACGAAGGCACAAACCCGTTCGTCAATATATTATTAATAAATTCTAAGATTCCTAAATAAATCATATGAAAAGTATAAACAAATGTTACATAATAATATAATATCATGTTAAGGCTACAAAAATACATTTTATTTTTTTCTATAAAAACAAATAAACTTATATTATATATCATAATTTAATGTTCAAAAGATTAGGAAAAAAGCGAAATAAAAAATAAACTTAATAATATTATATCCTATTATTTGTTACAAATGCATTCCAGTTGCAAGTTTTAAATTATACTGTTAATGTATTGTTTTAAATTACCTTCTTCAATAACATCAACTTTGTCCACTATGAAAACAGTGGGCTGATTTCTTATTCCCACTTTCAAAAATATATTTTTCAGATCATGTTTAAACTTTTGTTCATTCATTTTAAAATTATGTTTTGAATGAAATGAATTATTTATAAATATTTCATAGCCTAGAAATATATAAATAAGTACCCACTTTAAACTTATTTTAGTGACGTATAACTATTATAATTGTACCTAATGAATACTAAAAAAAATTATGCGATTATGCATAATTTTCACAATGATTATGCACATTGTATACTGGACCAACGATTAGGTACTTATTGTTAAGTCGTATTATAGTTAAAAAAATATCACTAATTGTGACGTAATATTACCAGATGTGAATGCAGCTAACTTAGACAGTGATTTTTTTCCATTTCCATTCGATCCAATTAACAAAACATGCCCTCTATCCATTCTAAGCATACGGTGAATTCTGATTAAATGATCTAATGCATCATTGAAAAGTACCATGTCCAACAAACCATGATATTTTTTATATTCTAATAGTATCTGAAAAGTATCACAGTATTTTACTATTAAACCAATTAAAATTATTACTAATTCTTACTTCTTGAAATAAATAAAATACAGAATCGTAATCTATTAAGTCCTCGTATATTCGTATTTGATTGTTCGCACTAATAGCATTCCTACAGTCACCGAACAAAAGAGGATCTCTAAGAACATATTCCACTTGTGAAGGAAAATATGTCTCTAATTCTTGAGTAAGATGACGTTCAATCATTTCTCGATCCTAAGAAAAATGGTCAAACCTTTTTTAATTTAATTCTTAGTTTTATATATTATGTACTGTCATTAATCGATTTATATTTCCGATTTTGGATGTACATACATTTTATTAATATATATTTATAACAAACAAATAAAAAAGTTTTAGGCTTATAGATTTTAATCAAAAATATAATAATACTTGTTGATAAATTAATCTATCACATATCACTCTGGTGAACTCGTTCCTCCAAACTCGTACAAAGGATTCTGTAGTCGTAAATGTGTTGGGCAATATGCGTGTCATACCATCGATGATAAAACTTATATGACACAAATTGAATACGTAAATGAATTTTTCTGGTGTTTGATGAAGTTTTTTAAGTACTAACTAAAATGACAACATATTATAACTTTATAGGATTGTAGTTTCAAAATATTTCAGAATTTACTTAACGTATTATTCAATAATATGAATATTTGAATAATTTGGTTATTTTAAAATTTTCACATTATCTTTACTCACATAAAATATTAAAATATAAAAACATACTTTGTATAAATGTACTGTCATATTTATAATATTATGAACAGCAGATTTTATGTTCTCTGTAAAGGATTTTGTATGTCCAGATAAAATAGAATTGAAAATATATCGAATTGTATCATCAGATGGAAAAGGTAATGAAAAAACTGAACATAGTGATAAAAAACGTGTATCTAATTCATTTCGACCACTTCCTATGTGATTCATAGCGGCAAAGAAACCTAAAATTTAAATTTAAAACTTTTGAATATTGTTAATATTGTTAATTAAATAACTGGTACATACATATATCCACGAGCTCTTTCCAATTGAAACATTTGTGTCTATCATACATGCCTTGTTTATCAAATATACTTTTCAATAATGCAATTGGTTGTTGTGTACCACATTCATCCATCTAATATTAAAATTCATAAATATAATATATCAGTGTTATTTTATTATAATATATATTAGAGTAGTTGTGTAGCAGCAATAATAATTATTACTTGTTAACACATAGGTACTAATTTATACAGAATTATATATTTCGAATTGTATAACATTATCCCTTAAACACAGGTTTAAAATATATAAATATGTAAAGCTGCAGGTTTATAATATACAGAGTATTTATCTATTGCGATATCCTGAGATAATAAATATATCATAAATCTGTTTTTATTAGACTCACAGAGACAAGGAATACCTTTTTAATATTTTTTTATTTAACTTATTTTTTTGGTAAACAAGTTGAAAAAATTCATTTTTCATTTTTTTATTTTCAAAATAATTTAAGATAAATTTTAAAAAGTTTATTTTTCTGAATATGATGACCTTTCAACCTTTTATTTTCATTAGTTTCATGATTTTTAATATTTTTTTAGTTTATATAGGTAAAACGCCAAAAACCCGGTTTTTGTCCGGGCGGCGAGTTCCCCCCCCCTTTTTCTAATGAGTAAAAGGACACTGGACACAGTATATATTTTTTAATAATAAAAACGAAATAAATTGAATGTAGGTTCATTCTTACTTGAGGCAAATTTAAATCATCAATAAAATAAACTAATCGCTTTCCAACTGGTGGGCCGTATGTTTTTCTAGAATGCCTTTCCAAATTTGTTTCTAAATTTTGCTGAACATCTAATGACGAAGTCCTAGCCGATAAATTTAATGCCATTTTTATCTAAAAAAAACACGTTAAATGGAATTAATAATTACACTATTAAATTAAGGGGACTCCACACCCGCATGCATTGTCTCTGTCTTACAAACGCGTAACATGGGAAATTTTACATTCTGAATAATCCATTTATCTCTGTTATGGTTAGTATTAGAATGAATTGAAAATTTATAAGTAAGAATATTATCTAAAGAACCTCATATAGCATAGGTTTTTAAAGGTTTTTTTAGTTTAACGTACTACTGAACAGTGTCTGTTTATTGTCCGGATGTTTGTCCGCGCGATTTCTCGACAACGGCTAAACATACAGGTTAAACTTGGTATATTCTGAACCGACTTCATCTCTAGTTTTGCATGACGAAAATATTTTTCTACAATTTTATTTGGTTGACGTTCAAAATACAACCGCAAATCGAAGTATTGATAAAAATAATAATAATAATAACTAATCCAACCGAAGCAACTGAATCAATATCGCCTTTCAAAAGAAAACCACGGTTTTGTTTTTAGTAATAATATAATAGTATTATATTGTTCAATTATATTTGTCAACAAATTATAGCGAGCTTAACTCCCCGGCTACCTAAACGTCCTGGTGGGATTCGGCGTAAGCAGAAGTGTGATAGGGCTAAGAAGGCTATTAGCCATAACCAGGAATTTTGAAACCGATAATCAACTTAAAACTCGTCTAAAACTCAAAAAACTAGACAAGTTAAATCCAAAGATACTGAAGATTCCTATCTACGAGCAACTCGATTAAAGAATAATCGTTGGAGTAAAGTTCCTTCTAAAGGTAATGAAAGTCCTAATGGAAGGTCTACTCGTTTAGAGCAAAAACGTATTGAACATGCTAATAAAAGGTATTTATATAAGTGAGCACACTTCAACAGTTAAAATACCTAAAATCATACTCAATATACCAGGTAAAAGGACATAAGAATTTATTTTCTACCTTTTAGTTCACTATTATACGTTAAATAAAAACCTTTTAGAGATTTTTTAAAATTAAAATATAAAAAAAAACTTATGAGGTTCACTAAAGAATAATCTTACTTCTAAAACTAATTACTTCTTACTTCTAATAGGTCAAATCTCTCCAATATTAAACATAACAGACTTAAATGGTTTATTCAGAACGTACAATTTGCTATGTTACGCGTTTGTAAGACGGAAACAGTGCATACGGGTGTAGCGTCCTTTTAAATTTTAATCTTTTTTGATTATTGTATACAACTAAATATAATATTTAAGATTCACTTGAAAATTATAAGTAGTTAATTATAATTTGAAAAACATAAATTATCGTCAAACTAATATATTGTTTATAGATGATTTATATTTATATTATATAAATATTAAGTTTTTTAAATAAATATTGGACAGTTGAATAATTTTGGAACATAATCAATTTTTCAGTTTTAATACATTTCCACATGATTTTCCCGAAACTAATAATTATTGTAATTTAATCAATTAAAAAATACTAAATAGAATTATTTATATTTGGAAACAAATTAACCATTATATCATACTTATATCTATCAATATATGTGATAACTGATGTCTGATAATATTATTTTTTATTGCATATTAAAATTATTAAAATGCTATTTACATAGTATTTTTGATCAAGATTACGTATGAAATATTTCATTGTAGCTGTTTTACCAGAACTCATGTCACCAACTATAATTGTAGGACGTTTAACCTATAAAAACAAATAGATACATAAGTACTAAGATGTGTAAAAACGAATAATATAAAAATAGAGTAAAAATTGTTTACCTTTTTAAATATTGCACTTCTAAAGTAATACTGAAATAAAATAAAAATAATATTATTATGTTTATGTATGAATCATTTATGTATTTAATAAATAATAATAATAATAATAAAAATGAATATTGTATAATTACTTCATTTATTAGTTTTAATATCCAAACCAATCTAGTTGATTCAACTGTGGGAACAAGTATATCGTCAAATGTAATAGTATCATTATGAATATACTCTGGGACTGCGTTTTTCCACGACATCCACTCCAACGTACTAAAATCTAAATAGTAGTCATACCAAGTAGGCTCACCGGATGGTATGTATTTTAAACTTTTTTGTTTTGACCGTTCATGGGCATTTGGAGCAGTTACAAAACCAGATAATTTTTTAACATTTTCATCAAACGTATGACGAGATGTCACATCAGTTAGTAACGCACCCAGTGATAAATATAAAGCTTGGATAAAAACTGCTTCTAATACTCCCATACCAGCCACAAACGAAATCATCGAAGTCAGTGGAATGGCAATATCATTGCTAGTCATTGCAGCTCTTTTACGACCGACTTTAATCGAATCATTATTGTCTGATGAAACTAAAGGTAATATGGTATCCAAAATAAAACAAAGTTGAGTGATCTAAAAAAGTTACAAAAATAACCCATTATTTTAAAATTCCATTCTTAATGATTACTGAGAGTCCACGTTTATAATATATTATGTAAGTGGATTCCAGTGACCTATGTCGCAGTGGATAATTTTTTATTAATAAAAAATAAAAAAATATATATTATATTATGCAATAATGCATTTTAAAATTGTATATTTAGTATATTTTACCATATTTAGTCTAGTCTGAAAAACAGCAGTCGTTAGCGGGAATGATTTATTTAAGTCGTTTCCATCTTTAAAAATTAAATTTAGCAACACAGGTACGTATTTTTGAAAACATTGATCCAATGCTGTTTGCTCCATTAAACTTCGTGGTTCTAACCATCGTACCCAAAACGGCATATAACCAAGATTACTGGGATCAACATACACTATACCCATTCTAGATATCGTAGATGGAGCCGAATATGATAAATGTCCGACTTCAAACAACAAATTACATTGTGGTTTTATCCTATAAAAATTGTATAAACGTAATGGCATTAATTAAGCTTATTAGTTACCTACTGCAAAAATATTTTTTGTTTTGATTTAAACTAATATTAAAAAGTGTATAATTAAATTGAACCATCTGTCAAGTAAAAAATGTATCCCTCGAGTATTGAGAACAATTAAGGTAATATACAGGTTGTAACAGAAAAATCTGACAAATAAAATAACTTTTGTTTTATTCAATATTTAACTATTTAAGCATTTTTTTTTTAATAATAATGTGTAGACTGTTGGACTACCATTTTATTCATTTTTTCAATAAATATCAAAAATAAAAAATTTTAAATGTAAATCAATTTTTTTGGAAAAATTCTAATTAGCCAATTTTTAAATCTTATTTTTAGACAATTTTTATGGTAAAAATTTTAAGTCAAGTAGTTTATTTTAATTTTTTTAAATATCAATATTTTTTGGAGTAAATTAAGTTGAAACGTAATAATTTTTTTCATAATATTCTTTTAGAAAATTTTCTAACATAAGAATGTTTCTTAAATTATTTATTATCCATATTATAATTAACATTATTTCTGTCATATGTTTAACCTTATACAGACCCAGCTCAAAGGGGAAGGCGACATAGACCCATGCTTAGGGCAGTACTTTAGTAGAAGGGTGGCATTTTCAAATCAGTGATAATATTATTAACTAGCTGATCCCGTGCACTTCGTCGCCCGTTAAATGGATCAACTCAATACTACCTACTCAAACTTTGTTCAATTCATTAACGTGTATGGTGTTCAAAATTTATCTTATCTTTCCCGTTGCTCTGAATAAAAATTCTGAATCGCGGCAGTACATTATCAGGTAGGCAATCTACCTGCGGTAGATCGCGGACCCCGTGCTGTTTGTACGGAAGTGTATGATTTAACTCTAAAGTATCAAAGTTATACCAAGTTTATTTTGATGTAATACTGTGGATTAATATAATAAATTTGGTTGCTCGTAAAAAATCGCAACTCTTAAAAAAATTATGATTGTTGAACTCCTTTTGGGTGTAATTTTCTGCGGTAAGTGCAACTCTGCCACCCTGGTAAGCATTGTTCAATAATTCGATTTGATGCAAGCTTGTACCTGATCTGCCCGAATAACCAATGGCAACCAATAAATAAATGCTAATTTCTAATGTAGACTGTAACCAATGGCAACTATAAATAAATAAAAATACAATTTCCAATTTCTATCGTGAATCTCAATGTCCCTGTTTCAGCACCTATTTAAAATGCGAATTTTGGCAAATCCTTTCTTAGCGCACGTCTATATTATAATAGCTATCCGTATGCCAAATTTCAGCCAGATCCGTCCAATGGTTTGAGCTGTGCGTTGATAGCAGTCAATCAGCTTACTGTTTTTTATATACAGATATGGTTGCCATGGTAATATGGACCCACACACACACATACACACACACTGACATACATTCATTTTTATATATATAGATTAATATTATTTTTTAAAGTTTTACTACATATAAATCTACATATAATTTTATTTTTATGATCACCCTACCTCAGTTTTAACTCCCATGATACATATTTTATACATATTAAATTTACAGCTGATCCCGTGCACTTCGTTGCCCAATAAAAATACCAACTCTATATGAATTATATTGATTATATTAATCTCGATATTCATTATTAATTATTATCCTTACCTAACTTAAAATGGATTACCCAATATTCGTGCACAGTTTTACACTTGCCATCTACAGAAGTGCTTTTGGATATACAATATTTTTCGTTGTACCGTCCGGTGCGTACACAAATAAATCAACTGGTCTTCTTAAATAACAACCAAATTAACCAATGGCAACCGATAATTATTATTATTATATAGCTTTGAAACCCACGGCAACTATTTATAAACGAAAAAGTCCATATAAAATCTCAAAATCCCTATTTGAGCACAACATCGTCAACATCTCAATGATTATCAATTCACATTAAAAATTACAACTCTACATGAATAATATGTTCTACATATCAAAATGGCAACCATTTATATACAAAACTTTCCATAGGAAGTTACAAAATAAAATATAAAAGGTTGCCATGGTAATGTGGACAGTGTCCACTGGACACACACGGACTATATATATAAAATATCTGATCCCATGCACTTCGTTGCCCATTAAAGACCTTTTTTGATTATAATAGCTACAACACTCATGGTAACCATGGTAACTATGGATCATGGTAACCTTAATAACCATGAAACCTTAGTAACCTTAGTAACCATGGCAACCTTGGTAACCATGGTAACATGGACACACAGACACACAGACTGACATACATTCATTTTTATATATATAGATATAGGGGTTTAAACATTTGATTTTGCCTAGTGCATTATTTTCTCTTGAGCCAGCCCTGGCTGTATAGTATCAATTTTTTATTTTTATATGTCAGGTATTTCTGTTACACTCTGTATGTACATTGTTTAAATAAAATAATATTTTTTTTCATGAATACATTTAATAATAAGTTAAGAGGATGCTACAAAGGCATTTGTTGTTTCAGTCTTACAAGTGCCTAACATACCAAATGTACGCTCAGTAGATCATGTTTAGATTCGTTAGTTTAAAAATTAGAGTGCATCGACTTATTATGGTAAGAGCATTATATGTGTTTGTGAGTGGTTTTTTTTTAATATAATTCAGTTTTTAAGTGAGTTATGAGCATTTTAATTTACGCTATATTATATACACAAAACTTGATAAAAAATTTAACTATCGTAATAAAACTCACACTCAAACACAGATAATGCTCTTAGAATCAAGTTTCATAATATGTCGATTCACACTAATTTTTAAACTAACTAAGCTAAACGTGATCTGCTGAGCGTAAATTTGCTACACTACGCACTTGTAAGACGGAGACAACAAATGCCTGTGAGTAGGATATAATAGGAGATTCGAAAACACTTACCCTTATGACCCTTATGACCACCGGTGGCACCTCGCTTAAGTGTGCGACATTTATTTTCCCGCCACCCTTTTCCCTTTTCCTCTTATTCAACTGCAATATTTAGAATCTTCTATTTTTGAAGCCATCTCTCTTCAAGGTAAGCGTCAAACTCATCAATTTGTTTTAAAATTAATGGGGTGGTAAATAAATCTTTTCGAGCGATGGCTTCAAAAATAGAAGATTCTAAATATTGCATTTGAATAAGATCTGAACGATTTAGAAGAACACATCCTTCTCTATTTTTCGATTCTACCACTAATACATTTTCGCTACCATACACCATACTAGATAGTTTAAATATATCGGTTTCGAAAAATGTGACTCTCTTGTACCTTTGTGGTTGGTCCAATATGAAAGATAGGATATGACCCATAAAATCAAATATCTGCTTTAACAAGTCCGGTGTAATTCGAATATAACGAGATGGAGTTATTATAAGCATAACGACGTTGAAACTATATGTCAGGTCAATACCAATTTGAATAAACTTACGACTTTCAAAGTTTAGTGTGAAATTGCTTGCTTCAATAAGTTCGGCTGTAGGTGTTGGTGGTACATAGGTGAAGGTCTTCTTGTATACAGCTAAGTTATCATTGATTGAACCAGCCATGTTAATAAACGCACTTTTATATTAAAAATTATATATATATATATAAGAATTATATGAAAAAAAAACCACTCACAAACACATTTAATGCTCTTACCATCAAGTTTCATAATAAGTCGATGCACTCTAATTTTTAAACTAAAGAATCTAAACATGATCTACTAGGCGTACATTTGGTATGTTAGGCAATTGTAAGACTGAAACAACAAATGCCTGTGTAGCATCTTCTTACGTATTTACGTGAAGTGCGGCGGCGGCCCACGTTGGCAGGGAAAAGGGTGGCGGAAAAAATACATGTCGCACACTTAAGCGAGGGGCCACCGGTGGTCATAAAGGTCATAAGTGTCAGTGTTTTTGAATCGGCTATTATATCCTACTCCTGTGTAGCGTTCTCTTAAAGCTGAGTCAGAATAAATAACCTACCTAATTTTCTCTCCATTTGATAACGTTAACATTCTATTATCATCCATGACAGGATTCAAGTCATCAACCCAAATTGAATCTATATCACCGTCGAACAAAATAAAATAGTAAGACTGATTATTAGGGACAATTGGTTGATTAATGTTTCGGAAAATATTCGTCAATAATCCATCATTCCAAGATTTTGTAATTGGATCTGCATAACCGTATAACTCTAATTTAGTAAATGCTTTTGGGTTAAGCGTTATAAGTTTCGTTGATATTTTTAAATGATTTAAAGTTTCACATAACACGTTTATTATAACAGATTTTCCTCCACTTGTTGGTCCGATGATTGCAATTGAATTCCTATTTGTTAGTGTCTCCATAATTTCGTTGATTTTTTCTATTTGGGTGTCAATTTTTACAAATTTTTCACGTTTCAATGCAATTTCTATAGCTTTGATAAAATCAGCATTTTTTGTTTTTAAATATTTGATGTTTGGAAATAAATCAGATATAAATGATAAAAATAAAGCAATATCTTTATCAATTAACTTAGGCAAATTTAAATCTCTGAAAAAAATACAAACTGTATTAATTTCTTAACCGAATAAATGTTTATTTAAATTAATTAATACTTATTAAACTTAAAACTGTATTTTTAATATTATTAGTAAGTAAAATCTACTTTAATCTGCACTCCTATACAGTAATGTACTAATTTTGCGTATACATTACGCCGTTTAATAAATATTAAAAAAAAAAAACTAAACTACTATTTTCTCACTTGTAAAGTATCCATCTCTTCAGGTACATACTATAGGGAGGACGCCCCCACTGAAATTTCATCCCTCCCCACTACCTCATCACACAAAATGTATTTACCAAATGTACGGTACTCGTTACAATTACTTAGAACTTATTCGAAAAATCTACTTATTTCTAAATTTAAAAATTTCTTAATTGTAATTTGTAATAACAATAATAAATAATGATGTTATGATATTTAAAACTAATTCTTATATTATTAATAAAATAACTACATATTTAGTAAAATTTATAAGATAATCTATTTTATTTGTATTACCTACTACAATTAATACGTTTTACGGAGTTATGAATTAACTAGAATTAGTTAATGTATTTCTAGGTCTGATAAAAAAAAATATTTTTTTACAGAAAAGTAGCATTTGTGGATTTTTTAGAATCTATGGTATAGTAGTTGAAATTATATTATGGTTTTAACTTTTAACTCCATAAATATATTAAAATTATTCAAAACTGGTAATAATATAACATGATTATATATTATATATAAATATAAAATAACTAATAATTACTAATTACTAATTAGTATTATTATTTTTATTCAACTATGCCAACCGTAATATTTTCATTATTGCTGAACTCTCTTCGAGCTCTGGTTGTTTAGTTAGTAAGTCTCTTGCAGTCCTGATGACTAATTTTAACGATCTTAAATCAAATGTGTGGTTTAATGGATTTGAAAGTCCATCTTTACATAACTTATATAATAATGATATTTTCTTTGACAAAATCTAATAAAAAAATAATTAATAAGGATCTTGATTTTTATACATACATTTTAAATTCAAGAATAAATAGCTTCTAAAACCTCACTTTAGCTTCCAAGAATCCTTCAGAATATAAAATAGTGAAGCATATTTGTTCAAAATCTGGAAGGAGACAAATCACTGGTCTAAAATGACTTTTTATTATTTCATCAATCTCTTTTCTTTGTACACTAATTTCTTCAATATTCATGGTAATGAATATACCAATTTTTGGATTAATACTTATATTGTATTCATGAAACTAAATAAAATTATTCATTATTATCTTTAAATTGTAACATAAATAACAATTTTATAAGAATATTTTTTTAACTACATTACATTATGTTCGTTTTTGTTTCCAAATAGTGCCCATTTCATGGAAAATAGTAAAGTTGATATAACAGACAATGTTTTTTGAGAAATTCTACTGAACTTGGTAAACAATCCCCAAATTCGACTTTGGCAAATTCCATTTAAGAAATGACTAAATGTCTGATGGTCCAACCCATCACTACAGTTAATAATTTTACATATATTGCCAAACATTTTTGCCATAGCCATAGTAGTTTCAGTTTTACCAGTTCCAGTAGGACCTATATTATAAATATAGCACTGAATTAAAAATATAATTTTTTGAGAATTAAAACATTTTCAAAACTAATAATTATTTATTTATGATACTGAGTAAAATTTGACTAATTATTAAGTGCTTATGAGCTTCATTACATTACTCAATAGTCATTACAAAGAAACAAATAGTTGATAAACATTTGTTAGTCATTCCTTATACTTTAAGCTTTAAAGCTTATAATCATATCTACATCTATGGTTTTGGAGCCAAATATTTCTAACAGTGTTTTCTTACCGTGAGTTGCACCACCTAAGCACATCATTAATGCTTGTGTGAACGTTAAGAATATACGATTAGTTAATGGGGTTATAACAATGTTCTTAGTTGATCCCATAAATTCATATCCATAATCAAAAAAACCTAAAAAATATTCAAACCATTATTACATTTAAGAACCAGGACAGATGCCAATCAACAACGATCGGATATGAGGCACTAAATAATCAATATTTAGCACAATAATATCTAATATTGATATATCAACTTTAAAATTCAATATAAAAACATTATTTTATAATTATATAATCTCTCAATAATAAATATTCGAGCATTATTAATATACCCGGTTTTTACCTGAACACTGTGATATGTATAAATTGTCCTTGCTTTTTATCCAATATGTTTTAATTATACTGTCCCATTCAAATGATTTTGCAAAGGTCACACTAAAAATAAAATAAAATATATTAGGTATATGTATTATAGAACTAATTAAACAAAATAGTCAAATAAATTACTTGTTTATAATAAATGATTCAATAATGTCCCTATGATGAACATCTAAAATTATTATAGAACTATACTTGTTTCTTTTATTTTCCAACATTTCTTTTCTACTTTGTATAACTATTTCATTAATTTTTTTATTCAACTGATTCAAATATTGTTTCATGCTTAACCGGTTACCCTAAAATAAATGTATACATCACATTGATGTTTTGATTGATATTAATGACTATAATTTATGATAACATTACATAATGGTAGAATGGTAGATACTGCATTATTCAAACATTAGTTAACTATAAATTATAAAGAGGTTATTAATTTAAATTAATACAAATATGACTTACTAATTCAATTTCATCAAAAACATTTTCTACTTCAACAGTCCACCACACAGTATCTGCGGTCAAGCAAACTGATAGTGGAAAATTATTTATCCAATCACATCTAGTAATTGAACATGAAACAAATCCTAAATCCAATATAGCTTTTTTAATCATAAAACGATTCGACTTTTGCATTTGATCAATAACTTTATGCATCCATTTGTCTACAGTATTTTTAATAATTACATAATTTTTAAATACTAATACTTCGTCGCTAAATGTTTTCATTGCTACAACTGTGTAACTTTCATCTTTTAATTCGTAATTAAAACTTTTAATATTATCAAATATCTAAAATAAAATATATTTATAAATTTACTAATCATTTTAACTAGTTCAAATTTAAGCTGATACGTAATTACAGTTTTGATACCTGAATAATATATTCCTGGATAGCAATTGGATTAGAATTGCCATAAATGAACAACAAATCATTATCTGATATAAAATAAAATCTAGGAAAACAGTTTCTTTTCTCAGATATATAACTATTCAATTCTTTTTGACTAGTGTCTAAACGACATTCCAACCATAATAATTGGTTAATAATATTTGGCGTTAAACACTGTTCAAGGATCTTTGAATTTCTATTTGCATTAGCCATTACCTATGAACATAATAAATAAATAAATATCTATGTATTAAATAATAATAACAAATACTATGCATGTGCCTACTTACAGACTATAATATACAATCTTTTAATAAATTATGATTTGTTGTAAATCTTTTAAATTTATAGTTTACTAACAGGGAACAGGTATACACTATACCTGTTGGCTGTTAGTATTGGGTATGGGACCAAATTGTCCTCTATATTGCAAAAAAAAATTATAAGTAAACTAAGACTTTGGCCTATGATTAGGTACAAAAGTTCAGTAGAAAGTAGTGAATTCTTTAAAATAAAAAATAATTTTTTTATATTTCATATTTTTTAGGGGGGGCCCTGGTTCGGTTGGTTTAGAACACGTGTAAATGGGGCGAAGATTTTTCACTAAAACCCGGGTGGTCACCTATCTGGGAACTAGTGACACCGGCCGATGTTTGCACTCAGAACACGTTTTGAGACCGCGGAGGACCACCACCACGCACCACCACGCCACACCACTACACCACATGTTAACATTTTATCCATACCATTATTAAAAAAACCTTATGCTTATAAGTTATTTTACAGTAAATACAAAATTATTTTGTAGTAGGTGCATTTCGTACATAATATTTGACACTTGTATAGATTGAATATTTTTTATTTTCAAAATAAAAAAAGTTGATAACATAGAAATTAGAATTAGCTAGTAGTCTCAAATGTGAAGTACCTAATAATAATTTTTTATGTGGTATTTATCTACTCCATAGGTCACGATTGGAGGGGGATTGCCCCAACTGGGAGTTGGCCTACTCAGTGTTTTATTGATTCCGCCAAATATTTGTAACCTATGTTTATTTCGTCGGCTATCGATTACATATATTATGCATGGTATGGGGCACAGCTATGTATAGGCAAAAAATTGAGGAGCCTTGAGAGGGCTAAGCCCTGTCAAAACTTGAAAATAAAGAAATTAATCCTTCAAACATACTAAGTACCTAGTTGGTGGTCAGTGGTACTACTATAAATAATAAGTATAATATATTATAGTAACTTTCAATTAAAATAATGTTGGATCGAAAATAAAAATAAGTACAATTTTATAAAAAAAAAAAAAAAAATCGGTGATTAATAAATCTTTTATTTACCCTATCTTTCTTGTTTCTTTAAAGTAATAGTTAGGTACCTCGTACCTAAATAGCTTGATGCAAACCTTAGCAAATGATAATAAAATACGCATTACACATACATCCTGTCATACTGGTCATATTAATATGATGCCTGGCCAAAATAAATCGCTCTTAGATTTTTCATGGTGTTTAAGGTAAGATGATTTTTTCAATTGATTTAATATGCATTATGCAATACCTTTAAAATAAAATGCTGTAACAGCATTTTATACGTACTCTATATTTTAAATGGATATGTAGGTACAATAATACATTGTAACACTGTTTTATAACAGCCATCTTTTACTCTCGGTGCCCAGTACTCGTCCTTTAGACATAATAAGAATTATTTGTGCCTTTTACTCGTCAGTCGTCTTTGTTACAAAGTTGAGAAGACGCTACACAGACATTTGTAGTTTCCGTCTTACAAGTGGGTCCGTCTAACATAGCAAATTTTACTCTCAGCAGATCATGTTTAGCTCCGTCAGTTTAAAACTAGAGTGAATTGACCTCTAATAAAATTAAAAATAAGGTTATTACTTATTACCTAATACATATTATAAGCTGTTTGTTATATATTAATGTTAAAGCAAGTTATGACTTATGAGTATTTTAAAATGTACTTGCTTTGAAAATAAAATATATTAAAACCCTTTGAGGTGCTCTAGATAATAATCTTCTCTTTAAATTTTATAAGAGGTTAATTCACTCCAATTTTTAAACTAACGGAGTTAAAAGTGATCTACTGAGCGTAAAATTTGGTATGTTACGCACTTGTAAGACCGAGACAACAAATGTACGAGTATGTGTATTAAAAGTGTATGCATGCATGCATGTATGTATGTAATGTATGTATGTATGTATGTATGTATGTATGTATGTATGTATGTGTAATGTATGTGTAGCGTTCTCTTAAATACATTTAAAAACCAATAACATTGTTAGGTAAGACCATAAGTATATTCCCAAACAAACAGGGCCGGCGAAAGGTATGGGCGCCAAACTGAAATTAATTTTTATTTAATTTATCTTTTAATACGCATTAACAATCTATACAATTTAAAATATTTATTATCTAACGTCGTTTTAATTGAAGATTAATAATAATAATAATAATTGTCTCATATTTGTATAATGAACTATCATAATTCGTAAGAATATAACAGTGCATGGATACCTCGATAATATTTACCCATTTATAAATAAATTCATATAACGCTCAGTACACGACTGTCAATTACTTCAAAGTGACTTTTGCACATTAGATGCCTGGGCTATAATTATAAATATTAGTTTGGACTTTAATGTCTCCAAATGTTGCTCAGAATCTTTGTATAGAGGTCGCACTCACTTGGAATTTAAATACTTACTTTGTGGGACCTATCTTGCCATTGAAGGGAATACGGTGAAAGATCTTGGAGTTTTCTATTATAGTAACTTAAATGTTCATAACCACATATATGCGACACGCTGTAAAGCTTTAAAAGCTCTTGGATTTCTTAAGAGGACGTCTCATCCGGATGTGTTGTCTCCGTCTTACACACGTACGACATGGACAATTTTTGTTTGTTAGTTTCAATAGGGTATTGTAAGTTTTGATATTAGAGTGAATCGACCTATTATCAAACTTAGGTAACAACATTATCTGTGTTCTCTAGTTGGTTTTTACGATATTTTAATTTTTAAGTGAGTTATGAACATTTTAGAATATGAATACTTTACATACCCATAACTCACTTATAAATTAAAATATCGTAAAAAACCAACTAGAGAACACAGATACTGTTCTTATTTAAAAATTTGATTATAGGTCGATTCACTCTAATATCAAAACTGACAATACCCTATTGAAACTAACAAACAAAAATTGTCCATGTCGTACGTGTGTAAGACGGAGACCACACATGCGGATGCGACGCGCGACGTCCTCTTAATCGGGTTTTTGACGAATTTAAGTTGATAACTCCACTAAAAGCTTTATATTGTGCGCTCATCAGATCTATTATTGAATTTTCTTTAATTATATAGAACCCTCACACCACAAGCAGTATGAATCAACTTCAAAGGGTCCAACTTTCAAAAAGCCCAAAATAAAGACAAATGTAATGCATTGATTTCATGAGATTTTTTAAAAAAATATCCAAATTTTATAGTCCTTTAAAGTTGGAAATCGACTTCGTAGAAAGCTTAGTTATTTTGCCAAAGAATTCATATATATATTAAAAATTAAAATCGGACATTCGGAAGAATGTGTAATTTACCATCACTTATTGGTCTTTAACGTACAAAAAATACGTATATTGCGATCCCCTTAATTATTATTATCAACTTGGGGGGGAAGGCCGCCAAAATATTGTTTCGCCCAGGATGCCAATATTCCTAGCCCCGGCCCTGCATACAAATACACAATGTTTATCCTATATAATAATAGACAATAAAACTTAAAAACAAATGTCATCATTCCCTCTAAATTGTCTATAAAAAAACTAGTATTATTAATTATTTATACAATAATAACAATATAGGTACCTCTTGATAGAATTTGTTCAGTTCATTGAACTTCTCAGCTTTTTCGGGTAAAATATTTAAAATGTTTTTCCCAGCATATATTTCTGCGAGATAAATCCATTTTTGTTGTACAAACCACCATTTATTTAGAACTTCATTCACAGTTGATAAATTCTTCTGCCATGTTTCAACTTTTTCTAAAAATGGTTCAACTGAACTAGAAAAAATTAATAATAACATTTAATATAAAAAAAATTGAGTTTTTAATTTATTATAAATTACTACGAGTTCATCATTTTATGCATTGTAATTTGATCATCTTCCAAAACTTGCAACACATCATGCACTCCACATAGTTTATGTTCAATATGCAAAATTACATTAGAGAATTTCTCTATGTTAAGACTCATTGTATTCCAACGCTATAAAGTGTTGAGTTAATTTTGTTTTATAAAATATGTAAATTTGATAATTAATTAAATACATAATATTTTTTTCTTACTTCATTTATTTCTTTCAATTTTTGTTCAATCCTGTTTTCATCAATTGCTTTACATAGTATTTTTTTAATAACATGTTTATGTTTTACAGTTCTCATTTTCAAAACAATATCAAAAGTTAACATTTCTTCATCAAAATTAAAATATACACCTATGCAAATTAAACATAGAATTGTTAACTATCAAATTACTATCAATAATTATAAATTGCAAATGTATTCTATTTATATTTAATTTTCCAATATTAACTAACTTTGTTGAATTTTTTTTATTATAATAATACATTGAATATTGTACATTGTATATTTAATACAAAACATAAGCTTGATTATAGAAGGGTCACTAGGTACTTAATTACTATTAAATTTATGTTTAAACTTTAAAGTAAGGTAGATAATAGATATATGTTTGTATAGGAACAAAACTAAAAGCAAAATATTTTCAGATATTACATTTGTTTATAGAGTAGAAAACAATATTAAATTAAAATATCATTCACCAATAGTATCCAACATTTCTTTCCAATGTCTAGGTTTAAATGCCTCATTCTTTAACTGAAGTAAAATTGGTATACTATGTCTCAATTCCTTTAAATACTTTGCTAAAATCTTTGCAGGGTGTGTATCTTGCGCTAAGACAGGCAGGGTCTTAAATTTTAACATAAGAGCACCAAATGCTTCACGAACAAATTCTATTTCAATGTCAAACCATGATATTTTTGACCACTTTTCAATGTCCGACTTTTGTGCTTCGTACAAGGAGTATACTAGCTTCATATATTGAAACTCAGAATAATAACTATCAAATCGATCTGTATTTAATAATTTTAAATTAAATAGTTCTTCCTCCTTAACTAATTTTTCTTTTTTTTTCATAAAATCAGTAAATTTGCAGTCATACTCCTAAGATAATAAACATAGTTGTATTATTAAAATAATCAACTACAAAACTACAAAAGATGATAAATACTTTACAAACATTAATTAAGATAAGTCCTAAATCTAAGTCATCTTTAATTTTCTTAAGGCCACATTGATCATATTTTTCCAAAAATGTGTCTATACAGACTGAAAACATTTCAATATTGATTTTAACGGTATGAGACCAAATGAGTTTGGCTTTTTCTAAAAATAATTTCTTTTCTGAAGCAATGTGTTGTAACATTGTCCAGTCGTCCTGTATATATGAAATATATGTTAGATCTTCATAAGACATAATAACTCCCATTTCTTCCAAAATATAAATACGATGGTTTAAGTTTTGGAAAAATATCTCAACGTTCACTTGTTCTGTTCTAATCTCTTCTATTATATAAAGATTTTTGTAAAAATCTTCGCTATTTCTTATATCATCATTTGTCAGCATTTTAAAAGTCTGTAAATATTTTTACAATAAATATTTAATGTACACATCACACATGTATATGAAGATAATAACATAGGCGGATAGACCTACTGGGAAGCCAGGAATTTCCCTTTTCGTATTTAGGCAATGTGTCTCTTTTTTATCGTTTGGTGCAATGAATCCTTGGCAGTTTTTTCGGCTGCATCAGAATTGCATGCCAAAAAAAAAAATGTCCAAATTGCATGCCATCTCTTGGAGGGGTCTGTCCGAATTGCATGCCATATCTTAGAGGGGTCTGTCCAAATTGCATGCCATCTCTTAGGGGGGGTCTGTCCGAATTGCATGCTTTGAACCACATGTTTATTTATTATGCACTTAAACAACTTTTTTTGGACTTTCCTAATTTAAAAAAAAAAATGCATGTATAGAAACTCTATTTTATCTACGGTTGTTATAATTGATTAGTTTCTAAATTGAAATGTTTTTATATCCGAGTAAATATTTTCCCAAACTGTATCTATATTAGAGTAATGTAGGTAGTGTACTGTACTCTGTTTCACAGACATAGACATATGCGTATCGGTCACTTAAGTGTTTGTAGCTGTCAAATTTATAAGTTTTTATAATTTATAAGTTATTATAATATTATTACCTACTATTATTATTATTGTTTTTTTTTAATTTATTATTATTATTATTATATTGTAACTTAATTTTTCATTGTAATTATTCCCCTGAAAAATTTTAAACTATTTCCCCTTTAATATTAACCGTTTTATAAAATGCTTTTACTATTTAATTATTCAAAAAAATATGTTTCCGGTATTAGTATTACTAATATATATTTTCCATATTGACATATTTTATTATTATGAACTATTTTTATATATATTGTATATTTAAATTGTAATATTATGTGCTTGAAATGTCAAAAAAACCCACCAAATTTTAAAACAATATTATTTATTTGAAATACTATGTAAACATGTAAAATACGCTCACTTGATTACCCTAAACTACAATAGTTTTATTTAACTAATGGCCTTTGTTATTGATGAAAAATAGTTTTATTTAATATTTATTATTCACAGTGGCACCTTCTACAATATTTATATATTTTATTGTAATGTAACAAAATCCCGTTCCTCCAGTGAAAAATTAAGTTTTTTAGTCATTTTATTCAGACATACATACCCCTCTAAGAGATGGCATGCAATTCGGACAAACCTCTCCAAGAGACGGGATGCAATTCGGACAGTCCCCTAAAAAAAAACGGCATGCAATTTGGACATTCCAATTTATATTTATTTTTTTTGGCATGCAATTCGGATGCACCGGTTTTTTCATGTAGGGGCCCTTTTTTAAATTTCATAGTAGGCTAAAAATGACCTATCCGCCCATGGATGATAATATTACTATACTATTATCAGCTATAAAACATTTCTATCAAATAATGTTGATAAATGTTATTTTATTTTATACATAATAATAGATAATAATAATCAACTATGCGTCTATGCTAACAGTAAGGTACATTTTATATTTTAGTGAAGTTTAAGCATGGTAATATTCAGAATCATAAAATCACACAAAATAAAATCTATCCAGTACCCACGTATAAAAGAACTTGTTAAATAAAAATACATAAATATTTATACTTACTAAATCATTCAAAGAAATATTAGATTGGACTAACGTCATAATATTATAATATAATGTTTCAAATTTTAATTTAATTTTTATCCACTATTTTGAAAACATAGTATACAAATATACAATGATTTTTATAGGTAGATAGGTACTAATTTTTAAATGAATATGATTCATAATTACTGTTAGTTTTAATTTTTACTAATTATTTAGCACTTACGTCAAATTTATCCCCTTGTCGATGCATCATTTCCTTCGTAGATTTTATTAATTGATCAGCAAAATATAATATCAATTCACGCGTGTATAGTTTCATTTGATTTATAATTGGACTGAGATCCAATCTAAATTGTATAAAATTATAAATGAAAAACTTTTAACAGTATCATAAGCGGTTTTTAAAATAGTTATTTAAAAACCAAATAATCGAAGGGTAAAATATAAAGAAATAGAATATTAGTGATCCAGTACAAAAATAATTAAAAAAACAATAAATATTACAGTAAATTAAATTTATCATAATAAAAAAATAAATATAATAAAAATATACATATTTATTACTAAAATAGGTATTCACAAAAATTATAATTATTATTACTATAAATAAACATTTAGGGATTAAGAGGACGTGCGGGTAGCGGTGTGCGGTGTTATCTCCGGCTTACAAATACCTACAAGTACCTACAACATAGCCAAAAACTGTTTTGCGCGTAACAACTTGACTCCCTCGAAAAAGCGTTTTTAGTTTTTGGATAAAATAAATGCAATTAAAGTTATCAGTTTGAAAACATTGGGTTTTTTTTCTTTTTTTAAATTTAATTATTAAAAATGATTAGTTAGCGTTATCAAAAAAATTAAAACGCTACGTCACAGATAAAGTTCTTCCCTATCGTTGTGGAATTTTGGTATTTCTACTATAAATACAGTGAAGTAAAATCCAAAAAACAGTTTTTGGTTATTTGTTAACATTTGTAAGAAGGAAACAATACATGTGGGTAGCACGTTGTAGCACGTCGTCTTAATTTAATTAAATAGTGACTTATAGAAATTTCAATAATACACATAATTAAGCAAGACAAATTCATACACATAATACTAAACATACTTGATGCATTGTATTTTTTTATGTAATGACATCGTTGAAAAATATAATTGAAGTCGTTTTAAGTCGTTAAAAATGTTTTCATAATCCTGAATAGATGTATCTGTAGTTGAAAATCCTTTATTTTTTATTTTTGATCCTTTCCATAAGAATTTGAATTGCTGCCATCTACATAAATTATATTAAAAATATATTTTTTTACCAATACTTTTTTGATAATATTGGACTTCTACAGTACTTACATTATTTAATTAACTAATAAGTAGGTAATTGTATTTCACAATTTCAAAAACAACTAAAAATGTACTTACCTAATATATTAATTTGTAATATATTTTTTACATACTTTTTTAAATATTTATTCACATCGACCATTAGACTGTGAGAAGTTTTACGAAGAATTTCAATTTTTTCTAGAATAGCTTTATTGTTTATTATTTCTTCATACAATGTATTTTTGTAGTTTTCATTCTTCCATTTATTTTCTTCCGTCAAGCAATACATACATGATTCCATTTGCCAAACAGGCAAAACTTTTAACCATGTCAAACACTTTGTTACATTTCTTAAAATTGTATTATAAGTGACATACAAATTAGGAACTATGGTAATTTCTTGGTCAGTTATGTTTACTATCAATTTGATAAGTGATTTGTCACTTATCAAAGCATTATTGTAATAATCCAAATTGTTTAAATACATCCTTTAAACAATACAATTACCATAGAATAATTATAAATTATAACTCCTATTAAAATTAAGTAAATAGACTTACTTAAAAATAGAATTCAGTATCATATTTTTATAACTTAAGTATAACCCAACCATGGGTTTACAGGTACCACTCTTTGAACCAAATAAATATAGTTCCAGGCGTATTAAACATTTTGAAATTGCTTGGTAATTGGTAATGATATGTCGAAATTCTTTAAACCCAAAGCGTTCATAACTTATAGGTAACATTTTGTACTTCTAATAAGTAATGCATAAATACAATAAATTTACTAAAAAAAAATACGAAGCTAATATGAATTACATCATAATGAATGAAATAATTACTATTGATGTTGAATCGTTGTCGATTAAAATATTCAATGGAAATAAATTCAGATTTTCAAACGATTTTATCAATTTTGATATATGAGATTCAACCTAAGGAAATAAACTCATTGAATATTAACAATTAATTTAATATGATAGGTACCATGTCTAAATAAATGTACTCACTATTTTGATATTGATCAACTGATTTTTTGTTTTATTTATCAAAATCAACCCATGGTTTGTAAATGTATCTATACTTATTGAAAGCCAATTATAACGACAGAGACCCATGTAAAAATAATCTTCAATATCTTTCAATTTGTGTTTTAATATGGCAAGCTAATAAATAGAACAATATGAAATATTAAAATATGTATATTAGAATTACCTACCAGAAATATAATGTATTTGTTATATTAACTTGGAATCATTAATAAAATATATAAATAGACTAGGTACTATAAAATGGTTTTCAGGTATACTATACATTCTTAAAAAAAAAAATTTCACCATAACCAACTTTATTCGAAATAAAAAAATTCCCTCGGTAGGTATCTTTAACAGTAAACTTACTTCTAAATTGCTCATAGAAGAAATAAATGTATTATATGTATTAACCATATTTTTCACTTTCATTATGTCATCTAGCAAACTATTTTTCTTAGCTAATAACATCTGTATCTCTCTAGGTAAAACGATTCCCAAGTTTTCCATCATCTCTGCTTCTTCAATTAACTCATAAACTTGATCCTATTTTTAGAAAATATATAATTAGTAAAGAAATTATTTGAAATAGTTAAGTTAGCTAAAGATATATTTTTTACATTAAAATTGGTTTTGAACATTAGTTTATTATCGGATAATATTTGATTTGATTTTCTGGAACACTTCAACCAATCTTTTAAATCTTCAATTTTAGGTAAATTACTTTCAGTATGACATTGATCTAGATTAAAATGTAATAAAAATGTTAAAAATATGTATAAACATTAAATGATAAATAATACGTATAGTAATCCCTTAGTAAATTACATAGCAAATAATATTATATACTATAAAAACGTCAATTATCCACGAAAAAAATATTCATTCTAAAATGAGTGGTTAGGTAAGTACTTATTTTGTTATTTTTTTAAAGGTATCGTTTTTAATTTTTGTTTATCATCGTTATTAAGGACAAATATTGTTGGATACGTGATATTATCGTTTTAATTTTGAAAAAATAATATGTTTTAATGATGTTTATAATTTTATATTATGATGGAATAATATTTAATTAAATAAATCTACCTGTATTAGTTTTTGTTCCAATACAAACAAGTATGTTGGTATCCATTTGACGTACAGCCAATGATTTTGCTTTGTTTGTCCAGTCAATTAATTTTAACCGTTCATAGCATTTCATTTGATCAACGATACTTTCATACATTTCTACAACCTACAATAATTGTATACAACATAGTGAACACTCAAGTCATAATACTTTATCATTTTAAAATTCGTCATTTTACCTTAAATTTTAAAGGCATATTAAATTCATTCGCTGATTGGAAAACAGTTATGGGTTCTTTAATTTTATCAAATAACATTCGCACCCAGAATATAGATCCAGAAACTGGAGGATGATGTCGAGAAACTGGAGGAATATTTTGGTGAGTCTAAATAATAAAAAAATATTAATAATTAATATACGTACCTAATAAATAATACCTATTATATAAAAAGAATTTTGTACAATACACATCATTCTTACCAAAAACCATGTTTCAATTGTTGTTAGCTCATTTTCATACTGTTTCAAAATCGATTCATACTTGGTTTTAAGTTGCTCTTTGAAAACAGGTCTTGAAGTAAACTTTTGAAGCCTTTCCAAAATTAAATACGCCTCTTTACATGACCTTTATAAAAAAAAAATTATTATAAAAATTGGTATTTTACTAAAACGTTAATTAAGCCAAAAAATCTGCTTTGATCACGAAATGTTATTCAAATTATTATTTTTTTTTTAATTTTATAGGTATATACAAAGTAACTTAAATGTTTTAGGTACCTTAAATTATTAAAACACCAGTCAATAAAAAGTTTACATTCTTCTTCAACTCTTAATACTTCAAAATGAAATTCTTTTAAGAATAAATTCCAATTTTCCACATTATCTTCACAAAATAAATCAAAATCGATTGCATCAAAAACTTTGTATAGAGATTTAACCCTACTTATCATAACATCTAAACCGATCATATCCTTAATAACTGATCTTAATTCTGGACCCAAAATGTTCAAAAATTGATTAATTGTCTAAATAAAATAATACATTTATTTAAGTAACTTTATTATATTTGCTTTACAAAATGTATTTATAAAATCATTTTTACACACTACTGTAGAAAAAAATCAAATCTATTTTGATTTTTTTAAAGTGCCAATGCATGATTGATGATTCTATTACACTAAAAATATAAAAATGTAATAAATACGGTATAACCAGGAGGGAAGAGGGTGCATACTCCCCCCATTTTTTCGTCATACAAAATATATGATACAGCAATAAACTCATATTTACCGATATATAACGCGGTCTAAGAATATTCAAAAATGTTTTATCCCCCTCTTTTTAAAAAAGTTGAACACGCCATTGTTATTAATTATGATGATATTCTTAAATTACCACCATATGAACTGGATTTAAATCCCGGTGAAATGATTTGGGCACTCATAAAACAATGTATAACAATGTATTCAAAACAAATCATACTTGTAGCAAAAAAAAAAAAAAATTGGAGAACTGTGTAAACAAAAAAAGGATGCTATGGGTAACTCTGAGTAAGAAGCAGTCTGTGCAAATGTGAAAAAATTAAGAGTTGGAACTTGAGAAAATGAAGGTTATAACATGGATATCGACAGTTCTTCTGAAGACAGCTGCGATATAAGCATTGAAAACGAAGACAATGATTTATGTGTAGCACCACTAACGTAAATATAATACTAAACAAGTAGTAGATTATATTTATTTTAAGTTATAATATAATATATTGTTAGTTACTTATTATGAATAATTTATAGAAAATTGTATTTTTATTTTAAATTCTGTCTTATGATAATGTTTACCATTACTCTTAGATAAAATAAAATATAATACCTCAACCACCTATCCAATTGCCATGAATTTTGCTTTGGTAATGCAAAAATTAATTTACAGATTGTAAATGTATTTTCAGTAAATAAAAAAAATATATAAGCTGCAAAGCCAAAATACTCACTACCACTATTTCATGAATATCTTTTGCTATACGTTTAATATATTCTATTTTGTTAAACAGCACACATTTATCAAACTCCCAACGTTGAAATTTAGACTTTTCAATAGATCTTCTAGTTTCTAAATATTCTGCTGACCAAACATCCAACATTTTTGTAGCATTAAAAGACATTTCTGATATTTCTTCGATATTTTTATTTCTAAAAAAAAGTGTTAGGTAATATATACTGATATGTAAGAAATTTGTTCAGACTAAAATATAATGAAAGTAGCCATGATATATTTCAATCATCTAAAATAACAAAGGGTAAAAACTAAAAGCCAAATATATTTGTTTAGGTTATAAAATATAGTGTGTAGAGATGGCTTAATATTTTTCATTAATTTATATTTCTTAAATATATTTATTTAAGTAAAATTAGAAATTACTTACTTGAAAATTAGTTTTAAGTCACCTAAATTTCGTCCAACATTTTCACATAAGCCATTTGAAATTTGCAAAAGCAATCTTAACATATTTACATCTTTACCAAAATATGGCGATAATACCCATATAGTTCTTAAATCATCAAACCAAATAGGTATAATTTTAATTATTGTATTAAAATCTGCTGATATAAAATCCTAAAATTGATTAAGACGGTTGTAATTTTTCAACACTTTCAAATTGTTGCTACAATTTATTATAGAAAATTTAAATTTAAAAACAAGAAATAAAAAAGTGGGTAACGCTCTGCTGTATATTAGGTGTCTAGAGAAGTCACTGTAATGGATGTGTTATATTCATATAATTCAATCATTGTACATAATATGTACCTATATGAAAAACGATTTTGTGTGAAGACGATCTATCAGTCAATAATTTATACTACTAAGTGTATTTTATGATATTATTGAGATTAAGGATATTTATTTTGCTATTACGGCATTAGGCTTAAATAAGCAGGGTAGGATAATTTTTGCCGAAAATATGATATAAGAATAATATTTTTAAATTACAATAAAATAACAAAATAACTAAAATCGTTATTCTTTGTTTCAATAGTATCTAACCTAACCTAATAAAATCAACAGAGAGCATAATATATTACCATTTAATATAAATTAATATAAATACCTTATAATGTTCCATGATGAGTGAAACATATTTTAAATTGTCTTTTGCTATACCACACGAACGAATAAATTGTAATTTAACAATTTTAAATTCATCCCATATGTTTTTAATTGCCTGTGTACGGTTTGATGTTTTTTCTACTACATCGAGAAACAATTTTGTATCTTCAGATTCAAGTTCATCAATAATTGATCTAACTGATGCTTCGCTATTTTTCCAAAAATTAAACTCTGAATGAATAGTCTCTCGCTCTTGAAACTATTTATTTTAAATAATAATGAATTTGATTGATTATTTACATTTTTATATAAGTTATAACTACATAATTTAACTTGATTTCTCAAAATCAATCATCAAACGATGAATATAAATTCTAATAGTAGCTTGAAATATATTGTAAATTTGGTCTAAACTGCAATACTAACTTAACGATTACAATAATTACCTCAAAAATACTAGAACAAAGATTTTTCATTTTTGAATTCCAATTTTCTAGTATATTTACACATTGAAGAATCATAGCAGGAGTTTTTTCAAGAGCTTCAGCTATTTCTTCTACATTGTCTTTGGTAAGACCACTTAAGTATTCAGTAGCTTTCAAAGATTGTCTTTTTAACATGTAATCTATTGTCCTAAAATACAATTTAAGCTATATAAACCTGTGATCTTTAATAGTTTATGTATTTAAAATAAAATAAAATATGTGCAACAGTATTACATGTGATAAATATAAAATATTATTTTAGTTAGGAGTACACTACTCTAACTTTTATTAGATATTTTTTTTCTGATTAGCGTACCTCTGTAACGAAGTATTTTTCGATTAATAACATATATTTTATGTTAATAATTACTGTACAATAATAATAAAACTAAGAAAGTGAATTTTATTGAAGTTGACTAGTCCCCTAAATTCGCCCGTGTATATGTTTAAAAAGTGGATGATGGGTGCCAAAATAATTCATGCACCGGGTACTAAAAAAGCTAAAGCCGGCCCGACATTTTTATCATAAATACCATATTATTTTATTTAAATGAATTCATTTTTGTTTTACATTTGTTCTTTTAATATTTTATTTTCATTACAGATTGCGTTATTTATATGACTTTTTTATACATGTTTTTTAAATGCTAAGTTGGTATAAAAGTATGAAAAATTAAGGAAATACTGACTATCATCTATGTATTACTTATTACTAGCTATCAAATTAATATTAATATTCAATATATATGATTTATACAACCTATACTTTTTTTCTAAATTTAAATAATATCTTAAACAAATAGGTAGGTAGGTACTAGGACTTTTGGAGAAAACATAGTATACCATACCACTTTAATTTATCTGATAAACATTGCAATTCTATTAAAAAGTTATGTTTCAATGGTTCTGATGAGGCCAGTTTATTTATATCATACAGTGGTAATGACTCGAGAATAAAAAGTTCGCGTAGTGATATAATTTTTTCCAAGTCAACCGAATCAAGTCTCTTTTCATAATCATCAGGACGCTCTCCGCTAACTAAAAAAAGATATGAATTGTTATAATCATCAAACATTTTAACATTTGATAGTAACCGATGAAAAAATATTTTTTATTTTAAATAAATTGTTCGGTGCTTACGAATTTCATAATCATGTTGAGCTTTAATTTCACAAGTTATTCGTATAAATGTTGATGGTATACTTGCTGATGCCAATGTTTTAATAATATTTTTTTCAGTGCGAGTAGTAACACAGTCGTGTAAAAATGGATCAATTAAAAGTTTTTTTACACATGGTATCCAGATGTTTTCCAATTCTTTTTCCATGGATTTAATTAAACAGCCACCTTTATTACCAATTAAAAATTGACTAGGCATATAAAAATCAGCTTCTTCTTCTAAATCATAAACTGGAATAATTGAGTTTGTATTTTTAACAAAATACAAATATCTGAGGTCTACATTAAGATTTCCAATCATACATCCAAAATGAATATGAAGTTCTGGTAATGTAATAATTTTTTCTTGAATCACCTAAATGAAAATATATAATATGCGTAATTTAATAA